TGAGCTATGTAGTAGCCCATTTTAATAATATGGTTCAATGAAAGAACTATATGTAAGGTTACTTGAGCAACCTTTAAACACTTCAACTGTTACTTATCTTTAAATCAGATGTTAATGATTATTTATTAGAAAATACCTTCTTGTATTGTTATATTGGATTAGTGTTATAATTAACTTGTGTTGTAATAATGTGTAATTAAATTCTTTTACTTTAATTGAATAAATCACGTCTATAAAAGATCTTAGAAATTTAATTACAAGATCTCAACACATAAGAAATGACTCTTCTATGCGTTCAAATTGTGAAGAGAAGTGAGGAAGACTTTGTGGTTCATTGTATTTCACTCGACAAAAGAAATTGGTTTTTATTACCAGAAGACACCCAGGACTTGAAATTTCATACGTCTCTATCAAGTAAGAAACCTTTATTAAATGCTGTGTATACTATAAAAAATGTTAATGGTTATAGAACAATAGGGGTTAAGATTGATGATGACATTAAAAAGGAATATTTTGATGAGTCATCTAATATTTGTTTTAGAGAGTTACCATTGGAGGAATGTCTTCCAAAAACAATTCCTTGCAGACCTACAGACACTCAATCAGAATTAGAAGATCATATTAAACGATTAGAGATGCAATTAAAAATTAATTCGGAACAAAATGAAATTAAACTGCATCATATTGAAAAAAAATTTATTTTAGAACCATTTGATAAAAAGCAATCAGATCCTATAGAGTGGTTCGTAGGTTCGAAGAAGAATGTTGTCGATTTCAGATAAAATCCGATAATTTAAAAATTCAAGCGTTACGTTTTTATCTCATTAATGGTCCGGCTAATGATTGGTATGAGAATAATTTAAAGAAGATTGGTCTGAACGATTCATGGGGCATATGGAGGGACTCTTTTAAGAATATTTTTGTTGATAAAGGCTGGTCTCTTGTGAAAAGAGCTTTAGGCTACAAATATTTAGGCGGATCTCTAGTCGACTATGCCCTCACCAAGGAGAGATTGTTACTTGACATAGAGCCTAAAGGCACGGAGATCTCCCGTATAAACCAGATTGTTTTCGGTTTGCCAAATGAGGCTCAGTTGAAACTCGATCGAGAAAAAATTTGTAATTTGTATGAATTATACTCAAAACTACGAAAATTAGAAGATGCGTTTATAAAAAAGAAGGAAGAAAAACTATCAAATCCAAAATCTATTGTGAATTCCGCTTTAAATTATTATAAAAAAGGCGAACCACAGCATAAGAGTAATTATCAGCGTAAGCCATGTTCTCACTGCGAAACCCTCGTTTTCACAATCGTTATCATTTAATGTCTGAATGTCGTAACAAAAATAAAACTAATTGTGAATTCTTCACCGTTTTGGACATCAATTCTGCACTTTGGTGCATATCGCTTCGTGAGCGGGATCGGGAAAAGACCTCTTTTATTACGAAATATGGAAAATTTATGTTTAAAGTTCTTCCGTTTGGTATTAAAAATGCTTCCGCTATATTCCAGAGAATACTATCCAACATTATAAGAAGAAATAACCTGGACAATTTCTGCATAAACTACATTGATGATATTTTAATTTTTTCTCGGAATTGGGAAGACCATCTTCAGCATATCAGCAAGGCTTTAGAAGTTATGATCACTGGAGGTTTCAAACTGAAAATAGAAAAATGTCTGTTTGGTGCGAAATCAGTAAAGTACCTAGGACACAAGTTTTCGAAAAATAAAGTGTCACCCGCCCAAGATAATTTAATATCGATTCAGAAACTCCAGGGGCCCTCAGACAAGTCAGGTGTTCGGAGCATTTTAGGCTCCATAAACTTTTATTTGAAGTACATAGAACAAAGTGCTGTCAAACTAGAACCATTGCATCGTTTATTGAAGAAAAATGTTAAATTCGAGTGGTCAGATGAATGTGAAGAAGTTTTCAATATGATAAAAAACTTTTTGTGCAGTTCCCCGGTCCTCGCTATATATGATATTGAGAAGCCTGTCTTCATAGAGACAGATGCAAGCATAAAATATATCGGAGCAACCCTAAAGCAACCACAAGAAGATGGCCTACTTCATCCTGTCGCTTACTACTCACGCAAGCTTTCAGAACGTGAGAAACGTTTAGATGTTATTCACTTGGAATGCAAAGCCATTAAAGATGCGATTAAGTTCTGGCAATACTACTTAATTGGACGTCACTTTACAGTTTGCTGTGATCACAAGCCTTTAGAAAACTTGAGGACAAAAGCCAGATCTGATGAAATTCTGGGAGATTTGATTCTTTATTTATCCCAGTTCAACTTTGATATTATCTATAAACAGGGAAAAGATAACGTTCTGGCTGATCTACTCTCCAGAAATCCAGTCATTGAACACTTCGAGAATGAAGATTCAATCCGGATCACCAACTTAATAGACTTGTCAGCCATAAAAAAAGACCAGGCTGATAATTTTTCAGAGCTGAGAGCGACTGATCAGATTTTATCAAAGCAGGGCATAATTTTCAAAAATATTAGGAAGAAATAAAGAATTTTTGTATCCCAAGCATTTGGAAAAGAAATTATTAAAATCATTCATCAACACTATGGCCATATCGGCCCATCTCAGATGAAAGCAACTATCAGACCATATTACTATTTCAAGGGCCTAGATAAAGCAATTAATGACTTCTATAGGAGTTGCAAGATTTGTATTGAGAACAAAACTCGTCGTAGTCGTGCCATCGGCCTGCTCTCCCGTCTCGGCCCAGCCACAGAGCCTTTCCAGATCATGTCGCTCGACAGTGTCGGAGGTTTCGGAGGGAACCGCTCTTCCAAACGGTACATGCACATTCTCGTTGACCACTTCACAAGATTTGCATGGATCTCTACAACAAAGGGTCAAACAGCTAAAGATTTCATAAACTTACTCGATCCTGAAGTTAAACAACATAATATCTCGATTCTACTGGCTGACCAATATACAGGTATTAACTCAACTTTTTTCCTGAAATATTTGAGAAGTGTTGGAACTCAGATCGTTTTCACATGCATTGACAATCCCAGTTCCAACGGATTAAACGAAAGATTGAATCAGACCTTAGTGAATCGCCTGCGATGTAAGATAAACAATGGCAATAGAAGAGCCTGGTCTACCTTGGCAGAAGAATGTGTGAACGAATACAATAATACCATCCATAGTTCCACCCACTTTGAACCATCGTATCTATTGTTCGGCCATCAATCTTCTATATCTCCAATTGGAAACACTCCATCCTCTTTAGAAGAAGACCGCAAGATAGCTTTCCGGAATTCAACGAGGAGTTTCAGTATCAATAAGAAACGCGTTAATAGGAATAGAAAGGAACATACTTTCAACGTTGGCGATTTAGTCTACGTCGAGAATGGCAATAAATTAAGTCGCAATAAGCTTGATCCAGTTCGGATTGGACCATTCCCAGTCGTCAGACGGATTTCTTCGTTGTTCTATGAAGTAGCCAGCGGAAAGAGGAAGAAGGTCTCAAACTTGTTCCACTCCAGCAAGCTGCTTCCTTACTTCCTGCCGCCGCCTCAAGAAGCGACCTCCAGGGGGGAGGTGTAAGGTTACTTGAGCAACCTTTAAACACTTCAACTGTTACTTATCTTTAAATCAGATGTTAATGATTATTTATTAGAAAATACCTTCTTGTATTGTTATATTGGATTAGTGTTATAATTAACTTGTGTTGTAATAACGTGTAATTAAATTCTTTTACTTTAATTGAATAAATCACGTCTATAAAAGATCTTAGATATAATTAAAAGTTTAAAATAAATAAAAATGAAAACAATAATCTATATTAAAAGAAAAAAAATATAAAGTAAACGAAATAAAAAGAAAACAATAGAATATATCTCTGTCTGAACAGTAGACAAAGAGTTGGGAGTTAATCATACGCAGCACCGATTAACACCCACGAACTCTACGAAGTCCAGGGCTTTACAGGATCTTATACAAGACAGTTCATTGAAATTCGATTATAATTGCTGCTAAGATTAGGAACCAACCAGCGAAGATAAATCAAGTGACCAAGACTGCCGAAAACAGTCAGATGGATTAACTAAAAACACGGCTTTGATGATGAAGTTGAGAGAAAAAAACATTTTATGAAAGCAATAAATCAAAAGAAAAGAGTTCACTTCACAAAAAAGTTTTTGAAAACACCTCTCAGTTCTGGTACTGAATCAGATGAAGAATCATAATGTAAATTTAAAAAGTCAGACGGGAGGAAATTGGTTTGGCAAAAGACCAATCAAGAGGTCAACAAAAAAAAAAACCTGTTGACAGGTCAGTGATGGTTTAGCAGTGTTATTCAGTTATTGGCGTTGAAAAATTATATTTCATCTACAGAACGATTTATGCGTACCAACGCATTAATATTCTGATAGATAATTTAAAGTCCAGCCCTCAACAAATGTGTACCATTGTAAATTTAGACTTTTGGATAGCGACCTTAAGCACACTCTTTATGTTACAAAAATTTGTCTACTTCAAAATTATCACAATGTTCTCCTGACGTGAATCTGGATCGGTGTAAAAAAGGTACGAGGAAATAAAAACAAACTGTAAGTAATGTTCAATGTCTAAAAGGGTTATGTAAGAATGACAAAGAAATATTAAATGGTATTAATAGTAATTGGGTAAGTCCGAAATTTAAATAGTTCATTTATTTTTTCTGTTTATTGAGAAAACTTTTGTGAGCAAAATGTTGTTAAAAATGCCATTAAATATTTATTTCAAATACGGCTGTTTTGGTCTCTCTTGTCATTTCTCGTTAATGTTTGTACAAACCATCTTAAATAATTTATATTTCTAATTTTTTTAATTTAAGTTTTAATTATTTAATATAAGCAAGAATAAATAAAGACTTTATTATTATATTTTGATTTGATGTCATATAAGAGTGATTCTAATTGAGAATCTTTTCTAACTCTTATTTTACACAAACTAACCTCTTTGGAATAGATTACTTCGCTGTCTGTCATATTTCAGCAATCCTGACTTCAGTTTTCAGTGTTGTGCGCTACTGTTAGTTAACGTTGTTTCTGGGACAGTAGAGGAGTATGGCTTCCCAGTTATCTAATTCTGGAAATATCCAGGATGAAGCTCAAGAAAAATTATTTTCAGATAATAATGTCTCGAATGAACCCAAAATAGAAATCAAATTTCTTGATCCCAAAAATGGTGACACTAAGATTGATATTTCTGAAGTTAGACAAGTTTTTGTTGGCATGGGAAAAGATGAGCTAATGAAGTTTGCTAATGACCCGTTTTGGGTTAAAATGAGATGGTTTTTGTTTATTCTTTTCTGGGTAATGTGGGTAGGAATGCTTGCTGGAGCAATAGCAATAATTCTGTTTGCTCCCAAATGTGATTCACTTGTTATGAGTCAGAAACAAGGAAACACTTTTTATCGGGTAAATGTGAAAAACTTTAAAGATAGCAATGGTGATGGAAAGGGTGATATTGCTGGTAAGAATAGGAGTTTCTAGCTGTAATTTAGTTGTTGGTCATTACTATATTCTATTTTATGCTCAGGTTTAGAATCAAAACTTGATTATTTGAAAAATATGGGAGTTGATACCATCTTGATTAATTCATTGATGGAAACCACACCTGGAACAGATGATGTAGTAAATTTTACTGCTATTGATGCAGATTATGGAACACTTTCTGATTTGAAGAAATTAGTATCTACTGCTAAAAGCAAAGGTATGTTTTTTTTTTTCTTTCTGTTTTGTCCTTAAAATTTAATTACATTTCTTTAACACTTGCATAAATTCGAGACAAGCCAAGTAATTAAAATTTCGATATTAATATGTATTCAGGGCATCCAAGTATTTTGTCTATCTACACTATACTTCGCCTTAAGCTAGGTAATTGGAGAAAAATATGGTTTAAGAATTTGTATAGCATATCTATGTCTTTTTTTGATGAAGGGATAGAAAAAATCTAATATTTATGGTCATGGTTTAACCATATTTCAACTAAGATTTTTTAAAACCACTCTCGCCATTTTCTGATGTTTGAGAACAATGTATTTTAATTAATTAAATGTCTGTAAAAGTTTGAAAGATGAATAAGCTATTTGAATTCATTGTTGTCCTAAAAGAGGTATGCAGTTCATTAACACTTTATGAATGCTGTTTTGACCACACCCTAGTTGTAAATTACTAAAGTTCCACCTGATTTTATTGGATACAGTAAAAAAAAAAGTTGAAAAATCAATTAGCATTTGTCATATACCTTAAAGTACCCAATTAATTAATTTATAGTTATTGGTATACTTACATTACTTTTATTTAGGATTGAAAGGTTTATTAAAAATAAAAATAAAATTAATAAACAAATTAAAATTTTGAAAATGTTGAAACAATTTATTTCATACTGGATAGTTTTACTATTTACCCAGAAATAAACTCTAACTATAACTAGTAAAATTGTTTGCTAACACAAAGGTATATTAATTGTTCAATAAAATATTTCTTATTTCTTATTTATTTATTTTTTTGTTGAATTGTAATGAACAGGGGCCTGGATTTTTATGCAGTAAAAACCTAGAAAATATGCAATCAAAAACTGTCAAATATGCAGCAATAAAATGTAAAATATGCAGTGAAAAAATTACTAAATGTACAATAAAACATCTAAAATATTATTTAAATAATTTTATGAACCAAAATAATTAAAACATAATAACATGAATATAAACGAGAAATAAAACTATATATTTATTAATGGCTATAAATATAATAAGAAATACATTGTAAGAACTAAAATATCAAAGTATTACAAAGTTCCACTTGAAAACAAATAGAAACAGCTATTGGTAAATACATCTAAAAATGGTAACTAATTGATAATATTTTAAAAAAAAATTTTTTTAAAAACTCAAATACATAAGAAAATAGTTTAAAAATAATTAATAATAATTAAAAACATTATGACATGGAGATGATTGACCATAATTATAATTTGAGAAGAAGTTCGTTGGGAATGTGGTCAATATATATTACTATATATTGAATGCACCACTCACTAACTTCTTCTCATATTAAAAACAATATAAGAAACTTATAAAACATTAAAATAATATAATGTACAATTAATAATAAAAGAAAAGTAGCAATGTTTTTAACTAAAAGAATTAATGTACAACATATATAAAATTAATAAAGCGCTTATTGATTATAAATTAGTAAGCAAACTGATCTGGTCTAAATTATTAAATTTGTTTCAATTTTGAAGAGGATTATGCACTTAAAATTTTTTTAAAAAAATTGTATAACCCCTTGTAAAAAAATAAGAAATTGAATCTGAGTCTGGTGGTTCAAATTTGAAAGGAATGAGAATGGGTGACAAAAAGCCAAGAAATAAAAAAAATCCATATTCTAAGAAGTCAACAAATGAAGGTAGCATTATTTGGTTATTTGAAAATCCCTCTACAATTGTATTATAGATTTTAATAATTCTAGTAAAGAAAAATTGTATTTATCACAAAAATATATGAGGGAAATTAGAAAAATCTTATCACAAAAGAAGCGCAACCAAAAAAAAAAAACTTTTTTTTAAATTTTTCGTACATTTCCCCGAGTGAGAACATAATTCCTGTGGATCCAAGTTAGTCTCATTGAGTCCTGATAAAGAAAAGTTTAAAGGTCGCTTTACCAGTCAAAAACAAATTTGGAAGAAGTGAAAAAAAAACGAACCAATAGTCAAACTCTATTTATCTGGATACAATTAAGTCGTGAGGCTGATATATATTGGTCTTTGAAATGTCAGAATCTGCTCAAATCAGAGTAAGGGAAGGACCAAAAAAAAAAAAAAAAAAAAAATTAAATACTAATTTTCCAAAGTCTACCAATCTCAATAAAATAAGGTAGTCTGTGGGCCAGACCCTCTTACCGTGCACACTAAGAATTAATAAATATACAAAACACAGTGTTAAATTGCAAACGTTAAATAAAAAAAATCAAGATATTTTTTAATTAAGTTTTATTATTATAATTATATAATTTTTACAATTGAGGTCTTCTTAAATGACGAATAATAATTTTTTTTTTAAATATTAATTTATTTTTTTACAATTAAATTATTGCATTAATATTTGTTCGTTAATAAAACCAATATAATGTACCAAAAATGTTATTATATCACTATAACTAAGCCATTTATGTGTACTGAATGGTGTGGTAGAGGCCTGTAGGCACCCACTCCAGTACCGCTTTTCTGCCGCATAAGTGCTTTTTCTACGGAACTGCTTAAAATTTTTTAAAAAATAATCAGCATTTTAGAAAGAGAAATATATTCTCCAGATGTTTTATTTCTGCACGTTTAATAGCGTTATTGTAGGCCGTTTAATTACAAACGACGCTTGATTTGTAACTTGAAAAATTTTTTGTTAAAAAAATTTACTTTACTGGTGTTTTTCATAGCCTAAGGCAATTATTTTTTTATATTTCTTCATGTTTTATTATTATTATTCTATGACTACTCAGCTTTAATAAAAGACCAACTATGAGGAAATTAATTCTAATGCTGATTCTCAGTTACAAAAAAACTAACTAAAGTCAAAGTCGTCAATCTGCCATCTTTGGACGCCATTTTGGAGCAGTGCATTCACTTTTTTTGTGGGAACATTGGCTTTTTTTTAATAAATAGTTACAAGGAACATAACGATATGCAATTTATAGGGATGTGTGGGGGAGGAGGAGGGGGGGGTGCACGGTAAGGGGGTCTGGTCCACCGTGTAATATGAGGCCGATACATCCCTCTTTGTTTAAATTTATTTTTATGCAGACCTGTTGACGTTTGATTGACAAATTTACTAATAATAAAAATAATATTCAATGTGAAGGAAGCCGATATATCAATAAAGTAAAACTCAGTCTTTAGGGTATCCGTATCAGAAGTAAATCTGGGGAGAGGATCAGAAAAAAAAATAAAATAAAATTTCTAACTTTATCAATCTCAATAAAATAGTCATAAGGCCTGTATATCGGTCTTTGCTTAAATTTATGTTTATGCAGACCCATTGACGTTTGGTTGACACATTTACTATAAAAAAAAAATATATTCAATGTGAAAGAGACCAATATATTGCTAAAGTGAAACTCAGTCTTTAGGATATCCTTATCCGATGAAAATCTGTCGAGAGGATGAGTAAAAAAATAAATAAAAATAAGAAAAAGTGCAATGCTTACCAATCTTAATAAAATATGGTCATAAGGCTGATATACCGGTCTTTGCTTGAATTTATGTTCATGTTGATCCCATCCCTTGATGAATGATGGATATATTTATTAGCAAAAAAATAATATTCAAAGTGAAAGAGGTTGTTAAATCGGTTCAAGGGGATGACCAGAAAATTTGGAAGATGTTGAAAAGAAACAAATTAATAAAATATTTTATCTTTACCGATCTCAATAAAGTCAGGCCATAAGGCCTATATATCAGTCTTTGCTTAAATTTATGTTTATTTTGATTCCTTGCCGGATGATTGATGCATTTATTAGCAATAAAAATAATATGCAAGGTGAAAGAGGCCGATATATTGGTAAATATAAGATATCCGTATCTGCTGAAGATCTGGGGAGAAGATGAGCAAAATAAATAATTAAAAAAAAGTGCAAACCTTACCAATCTCAATAAAATGTGGTCATATGTCAAAAGAGAAAAAAAAAGAAAGAGACAATATATATATATATATATATCGGCGTTTGACATCGGCCGATATGCCAATATTAATATCGTTATCAGTCGATCTCTAATGTAAAGATACAAACGTAAATAATCATTATATCCGATAAAAAGTTTTCGGATGCCAGGGACCGATACTGTACCAGAATGATAAAAAATGATTTCTCTACTGTATCACCCTCCGGCATCCAATACATATTGCTGCCAAGGCAGGACAGTGCACATGCATGGTCTTGTCTTCTTCAGGCTTCTGTCGTTCAGTAGCTCTTGAGAGTTCATCTTAGACTGTTCCCCGTGCTTATTTAACATGTCTCATGCTTAGAAATTGGTGGCTATGGCATTATCTCACCAAGAAGAGGAAATTGATAGCACTGGTATTGAGTGATGATTCGATAACAGACAAATATTATTTGCCATAATCAAATTCATCTAAAATGGAGGTTGAGGAGGAATGTGAAATGGACTCTACTTATCTACAAGTGCCTAATGCTCCTGTCCAAGGAGTTATTGAAAGGGATCATAGCTGCAAGCAGTAGAGGTAGGATCTACGAATTTTGATTATTATCAAGAGTATTTTTACAAGTATTTTATATTTTCGTTATTTTTTTATTTTATATATTTTTTACTTCCATGTTTTCCTCTTATTTCTTTTCTTCTCAATGTTGTATATAACTATGAATGTACACATAGAGCCTTATTACCTGATGCCCTTTATTGAGGCAGAATGTATTATTATTCTTCCAATAAAAGTTTTATTTTAGGGAAAAAAAATGTTATAGTAAATACCCAAATATCTGTAAATAATGTATAAATTATATCTTGAAAATTGTAATTATGTGTAATAAATAAATTTTTTCTCATTTCATTTTCAATATTTAAGATTTATATCCCTAAAAATAACACTTGTTTACTGAAATAAAGAGAAATAATAAAAAACTTGTCATGTAAATGGCATCGGTCTTCGAAGTCCACTCCTACGATTGCTGGCCATTAATGTAGACACAATCAACAGATAGAGACTCTGAATAGGGAATTTAGTTCACCTTTGTTGTCAAAAAATAGCGGTATACCTTGAAACTGATGTATGTCTCCGGCATCCGATGCCATTAGGAACTTCATAACTAGTGTAGACTTAAAGACATTTAAGAGATATGCTCTGAAGCTTACGTGTTAAATAACTTTTCCTTACCAAATAATAAATGAATATATAAATGCAGTGTGAACCAATGTATACATAATTTTTTTTTTTGTGTCCTCTTCCTCACCGTTAAGGCTATACGGGGTTTTCTCGGACCAGGGGGTGTGGGCGGAGATTTAAAAGACGCCTTGGCACCGGGACGCGAACTCGTGACTATTTTTATATCATTAATCATATATCAGGTTGCCGGGCAACGGTGGTGCTGTGCACACGCGTTAGCCCATTCGGCCACCCCGCCGGATGTATATGTAATTATTATTATTGGCGCTTCTGCCCTCCAAGTGCACTGACCTCCTCATAGAAAGCCTGCCAGGCTTGTCTGTCCACAGCAACAGCTCTCCATCTTCTTACTCCTAACTGCCATAGTTGTGTGTCAACATCTTCCAACCATCTCATCCTAGAGCATCCACGTCTTCAGTCATCTTCTGGGTTACTGTACATTAATTGTTTTGGGAGGTGATAGTTTCCCATATGCTCCATATGACTGATCCACCTCAGCAGTCCCTTTTTTATTACAACCACAATATCAGGCTGGTCATATATAATTCATCATTTGTTGCGTCCTTATATTTTTTCGAGAACTCTTACCCACGAGCTTAGGCACCATACCTGTGACAGGATCCATGTTCTCTGGTTCTTCCATTTATTATCACCATTTTTTATTATTTGAAATAATTAACCATTTCACATTATAACCTAGTGTTAACGCCGCATATGCTTACATCTTTATTTTTTTCTCACCACCCCTCCTTTTGTCAATTAAATATATGTTTATTTATTTTTATTTGTAGTAGTCAGAGAATGGTTGTCTCTAAAATGAATATTATTTAAATATTGAGTATTATTAGCAATGTTTATCGCTTATTTATATGCACCAGCCCACCAGTAATACCAGTCTTGGGTATTAAGACACCAATACTGCAATAAGACTGCCAGAAAGTCAGTCAGGAGCGAGCTTTCATAGGCGTAGGGTCTGTGTATTTGGTCATCAGAACCCTATATCTCTAGGTCCATAATTTTTCACTTGAGAATAACATCTTTAGGAAAAACCGTTTTCGAAATACAGGAACCCCTCAAACTTTGTGGAATTGATAATTGGTAGTTTTCAGCATTAGCGAATACGAAAATGCAGATGAGTTCCACACTTGTGGATTGTGTATTTTACTATTCGTGATTACAAAAAAATCACGAAATAAAACAGTTCCTATTACTGTATGTGTGTACACATTGAACATGCTTATGTACTTAATTGGCATGTTTTGACTCCTAAAATAGATGGAACAAAAATTCAATATTTTGTTTGTTTGGTGTCAACAAAATCAATTTTTTTCATTGGTCAGATCAAAACTAATGAAGGAAGAATATAAGAATATGACTGAAGTTTACAAAGTAAGCTTGTACATACTTAAAATTTATTGATATCTACATCTTACTTTTTCATAATTGGTAATTGGTTGACTGTCGTGGATAATGAAGAGAAGAATAGTTGGGGTGCTCAGTCAAAAAAGGAAGGCAAAAAATAAATTATAATATTTATTTTTTACATATGCCGACGTTTCGACCTGAAGTTCAGGCCTTCATCAGGGCTAAGAAAATGACCAGATAACAAGGTATGAGAAACATAAGTAATGATGGTAAAAAAGATAATAGAAAATGAGAAAATAAAATAGATTAGATCTAGATAAAATAGATCTAAATAAAATATTAGAAAAATAAAATAGATAGATATAAAATAAAATGAAATTGTTAGAATAATGACTAAGAACTAAGAGATAAATAATACAGACTGTTACATAGTGTGGAATGATGAAGTAGGCATAATCAAAAAGGGGGTGACAAAAGTGTTACATTGGGAATCTTAGAATAAAATGTAAAAACATAAAAAAGAAATATAAAGTTATTTAAGAAATGAAAATAAAATAAATAGTAAAATTAAAAACATTGAGAATGGAGTAGTTAGATAGAAAATTGAGATATTGTAAAGTCTATCAAGATGTACAGACAATGTATAATATAATAGAGAGTTAACAACAGAGAAAATCTTCATCTTACTTCATCTTACTTTTTCACAATAATTAGTCCAAAAAGGTATGAATGTGACTGCTTTACATATATACAGTGCCTACCAAATTTCACAGCCATTATTATTTTCTTATATTTTTAACTATTATTTGTATTAATTTTAATTGTAAAATGGAATTTCATGAAATTGATACTAGACGGGTTTTACAGTATTCTTAAAATTCCTCCAACTTTGGGAATTGTTTTCAAACTATAGGTCTGTTAAAATCAATGTGTTTATAAATTCCAATCTTTATGCTCTTTATAGATAAAATGAGTTTTGTTATTATTATCAATATATCTGAATTATGTATGAGTATGCTTGTAAATTATTTTTTGCAATATTAGAAATAAATGTATTTTTATGGAAAACTATTATGATTATCAGTGATATTCTATTATTACATTTTAGAATAATTGATTTCTTTATTTTTAGGTTTGAGGCTGTTAATGTCTATTATCCCTAATTTTTCAAGTATTAAACATAAATGGTTTGAGTATTCTGTTGAAAGAAAGGATCCTTACACACATTACTACATTTGGACAGAGCCCAGTACTGATGAAGATGGTTCCCCCAAACCTGTTAATAATTGGGTAATTATCTGTTTCTAATATTATAGAAAAATGTTTTAATAATATTATAAAACAAGAATGTGATCAAGTTTATTTGAAATTCATTGGATATTATCAATAAATATGATTATGAATATTTTCTATATTCATATATCTTTGCTGTTCATAATTGTTTAAAACGTTTTGAAATTATGAAATACTAAATTCAATTATCATAAAGGAGGAACAGATTTGAAATACTTAAGGTGATTTTTTATTTTTTTATTAGATCATTAAGTCTACAGTAGTTGAGCTGGTTCTAGAGCCTTGCTTGAACAAAATAATAAATAAATAAACCTTGAACATAAAAAATTGTAGTATATACATTTTTTTGTTCTCTTTACTTTATACTATTGATTAGAGAAGCCTGCTGTATATTCTGGTGAGTAGTGCTGCATTGGGTTTTAACCAAATCTCTTTTAAAATACACATTTGATTTAAATATGATTCCTTAGCATTACTTAGAGCTGCTTAAAACAAATTGAAAGTGTGGATGAGAATAGAAGTTAGAAGGACGAGGTTGGGTAGTGGGGGATTTGATTGATGATATAAATTGTAATCTCTGTAATATATTGGATGAGCGCCGAGTTCTGATTACCTGATATAGGAAGGAAGCAAGGAAAAATTAAGACCTGTTAGATGGATAGAGCTACTTCAGCTCGACATAATACTGAGTTATTTGCGTATCTCTAGTGCCCCCATAAAACAAATCTAACTAAGCAATACATAAGCTGTTTGAGTCTTGCTTCAAGATCACCAGATGGTGGTATGCATAGTCGTCCCTTATACTCCACTATTCCCTTATCGTCCCTAAATGCTGGTGGTCAGAGTCCACCCCGTTCATTTCTTTTCTACTATAAGGGATATTTAGGGGACATAGAGGGCCCTTCATCATTCCCAAAATTCCCCTTTACTCCCCTCCACTCACTATAACTTATATTTAACTGATAGAAAATTTAATTATCGTGTTATTATTATTATTTTTGCTATTATTATACTTCTAAAATTATCATATTACTTCTACCTAAATAAAATCTAGTGAAATGAAACTTCTTGGTTCAAACTATTTTCTGAGTATTTAAGGAGGTAGGTTAAAAGCTAAAAAAGAAAAATTTTATTGAGAACGTTATTTTCTCCCCTCCACTTCATAGAATTAGTTTGTTATTACCCAGATAATGATATATAACTGCTTCTACTTTTCTTAAACATTGGCCTGAAAACGAGATAAAATATCGATTGAACATCCAGTAAGTAAAAGAGGTAACTGGACTGTTCAAATACATCATAAACTATTGTTATATTTTTTTTTTAATATTCTCATTATATTGATGAGTGATATAAAAAGAAAAATATTTGGTGGAGAGGAGTTACAGTTCCTACACATCTCTATTCTTCAATAAAGCTGATATTATAGAAAATAAAGATACAGATACTATTTCAAATACGGGAAAAAAAAAAAAAAAAAAAAATGGCTTGGGAGGAAATTCTTGACGAATTCAATGCTAATGGAGAACACAGCTATGTATGTATTTTCACTTAAAAGTATTTAAAACACAATTGATATGTTTACTTTGATAGAGAGTATAAGTGCCATAAATTAACTTAGAAAGAGGAAAAAAAATTTTTTAAGGCATAACTAATGAACTTTATAATTTTTAAAACATTAATTTCTTTTTGCGGATGCTCAAGTAAAACAATGAAGTATTAATTTAAAACACTAAATAATCAATTTAATTGTGGGTTTATGGTTGACTGTAGTAAATAATTTAAGAGAAGGATGGTTGGGGTGTTCAGTCAAATTAAAATGGTAAAAAATAAATAATTTTATTTATTTAATTTAAACTTAAATTGCTAATTTTAAATTTCAGCTTCCTCTAAAGTACCTTTAATTTTTTTAAAACAATTGACTATTTGACATTAATCTCTAATATAAAAGATAGTTAAATATAAAATATGAAATATGATTTTAGTAATTCAGAAAATTGATCGACTGCTGAAATGTTACCAATAACTCCTAATTTAGTATTACCGTCAATTAGTTGATTATTTCTTAAATCAACCAAAAGGTTGAAATTGTGTAAAAAATCGGCACCTAGTATACCTCTACTTACTTTGGCTGCGATAAAAGGCCATCTGAATTCTCGATGAAGTCCCAAGTTGATATTTAAAACATTTACACCAAACGTGGGAATCTCCGTGTACAATTTGCTGTGTACAATTTGAAACCTGAAATGTTATTTCTACTTTGTGCCTGAGGAGGAACAATGGATACATCTGCTCCACTATCTACTAAAAATTTCATACCTAAATTTTTATCTGTTAAAAATAAACGAAACTTACAGCCTCTAATATGGTCGTCTGTAATAGAATGAGCCACTACTTCTACTACAGTCTCTCGTTTCCCTCCTGATTCCATTGGCAAGGTTGCTGGCACTTTTTGGGTAGACATCTTTTCCCAAAGTGGTGATGATAAAAACAATATTTTCCATTGAGATTGAAGCGTCCTCGGCAACGGCTGCGACTTCGGTTTTTATTAAGAAATTTCCTGTTACAATGGTGGTCTGGACAATTACTTAGACTTTTAGAATCCTGTATAGCATCCATAGCTTCTATTTTGGCAACAAGCTGTTTTATTAATTCGTCTGTGCCACTATTTGAACAAGTTTCTGGACAAACTTTAGTACTAGACGTGGCAAGAACATCGAAACGTGGAGTCATGTCCACTATTTTATCTGCCATCATCGCAAGTTTTTCTAAATTTTCATCAGAAACTAAAATTATATTTTTTATTGAGTCAGGAAGTTTATTTAACCATAACGTCTGAAGTACTTTAGACGATATGTTGGTACCTGCCAAGGAAGTCATTTTTCGCATTAACTGGCTTGGTTTTAAGTCACTGAGTTCTAGACCAGCTACTAACAGTTTTATTTATGATTCTTCACTCTCATTGTAAAGGCTCAAAAGTCTTGTTATGGCAAGTAAATATTTTGCTTCATTTTCTGAATCTAGAGTATCAAATATATCTGCTACGAATTCCCTATCTAATTGAGATACTAAATAATCAAATTTCGTACCTTCAGTAGTGACTCCGCTTAATTTAAACTGGGCTTCAACTTGTCTGTACCATACATCCAGTCATTCTAGCCAAAATGGTGGTATTTTAACTGAGAATTTGCTCACTTCAAGATATTCTTTTTTTAATTGTTGATTTTCATTCAGCATTCTAATTATTATCACGTCGGGTGGTTACCAATATTACTTGTAGTTTTATTAGTCTTATGCGTTAAGTTAAGATTGATTAACTTTAATAAATATCTTTAAAGAAAGTTACAGATTTTGCTAATCAACACAATATATTTTATAACCATAAAACATCTGAACACATTATATTATTTACATATGATATCGATAGTTCATAAAATTAAATAAAATCATATCGGTTGTCCTACTCCTACAGATACCTTTGCAGTATAACATATAAAACAAATCTTTGCTCCTAATTGTCCGATTTTAACGATTAGTAAATTTTTAAATAACCATATACAATATCAACAAAAACTTGTTTACTTTTTGAATCTAATTTTAGCATCCCTTGTAACTTTTTTTCCAGCTTCTTTTCGTTGAAGTATGTTATATAGATAAATTTAAAGGCCATCGAGAAGAAGACTTTAGCGAAGTTGCATTAAAATTGGTACATTCGTTTAGGCGCTACGATCTATAGCAACGCAGATTTTTCAGTCGCCATTTTGAAAGGAAAAGGCGGATAGAAATAACAATAAAAGAGGATCATTCTCTAATTTTAAATCCAAATTTGGAAAAAATCGGTCGTGCAGTTTTGGATAAAATGCCCAAATTCTATGTATCCTGAAATGTAAAACCTAAAATTTTGAGAGGGGGTTAAGTTTTTGAATTTTTTGTTCGATCACAATTGTTCATTATTGAAAATAATAAACCAAAAAATTATATTTCTCTCTCTCTCTGTATGTATATAATATATATATATATATATATATTATTACAATGTTTTTTTATAATTTGACCTTTATTTATTATAACTTAAGATATAAATTATAGTCGGATAATAGGTCATGAAATTTCATGACCTATTATCCGACTATAATTCATATCTTAAGTTAATATATATGTATATATATATATATATATATATATATATATATATATATATATATATATATATATATATATATATATATATATATATATATATATATATATATATATATATATCATAGATGGGCATAATCATAATCAACGATTATGATTACGATTATAATCAAAAAGATCACAATTATTTGATTACAGGATTGTAATCGTAATCACGGTTTTTGATTTTGATTATAATCGTGTAATCAAGTAATCGGGGAGCGGGGTAGCTCAGTGGTAGGGCACTGAGCTTCCAATGCAAAGGTCCCGAGTTCGAACCCCGGCTCATGGCAGAAAATTTATTTATCTGTTTCATTGGCCGTGGGGCGACCTTGGGTCAGAAGTCCCTCCTGGGGCACACCCAGCCTCTATAAAGTGGGTACCCTTAATTAAATAATTAATTAAGGGGGAAAACCTGGCGGTTGAGCGTGATCTCGGTCAATATCACCTCCTTGCACAACCGTTGACCTAGAAACAGTGCTTTCCCTAAATAGTACTGAACCCCAGACCCTTCATGGGTTGTAGTGGTACAGGTAATCAAGTAATCGTAATTATGTAATTATAATCATTGTAATCAAAATCACTGTAATCGTAATCGTGTAATAATAATCGCGTAATCGTAATCAAAAAATCAAATACACACGATTTTCCTATTTTTAGAGATAGGCTTAAAGGAAAACAAGAATAAAACATTTTTTATTTTCTTTAGCTGCCGGGAGTACCTTCTTTGTTAATAACGTCGGTTAACATTTAATATTTTCCGGATTTACCTTCACTTTTCTTCTTTTATCATGTGAATCGATGCTCGGTTTTTCACCGTTGCAACATTTTCCGGCTATATTGATGTAGGCGAAAATGGAGAATTAGTGTAGAAATTTTTCCGAATTTCCACTCGTTTTTCCTCTTTTATCTCGTGTATGCATGCTAGGTTTTTCTCCACTCCAACAGTTTGCCGACTATATAGATGTAGGCGAAAATAGAGAATTAATGCAGAAAATGTTCTGGTTTTTTATTTGCTTTTCCTCTTTTATCTCGTGAATGGAGTCTCAGTTTTTTACTGTTCTAACCATTTTATAACTGTTTAGAGGAAAGCCAATGGAACCGAGAGTGGTACAAATTTGCCGAATTTTCATTTACTTTTCCTCTTTTATCTCGAAAATGAAGGATCAGGTTTTTCACCGTTCCAACAGTTTCCCGGCTATGTGGTGGTAGGCAAAAACGGAGAAATGGTGAAAAAAAATTTCCGAATTTCCATTCGCTTTTCCCATTTTATCTCGTGAATGGATGCTCGGTTTTTCACCAACACATTTCCGACTATATAGATGTAGAAAAAAATGGAGAAATAGTGTAGACAATTTTCCGAATTTCCATTCGCTTTTCCTTTTATCTTAGGAAAAGTGAATGAAAATTGGAAAATTTTCTTCAAAATTTCCCCGTTTTCCTTTACCTCTACAAAGCCGGAAAACTGTTGGAACGGTGAAAAACTGATCCTTCATTTCCAAGAAAAAATAGGAAAAGTTAATGAAAATTTGTACCACTCCTGTTTCCATTGACCTTCCTCTAAACAGCTATAAAATGGTTGGAACGGTGAAAAACCGATACTCAATTCACGAGATAAAAGAGGAAAAGCGAATGAAAATTCAAAAATTTTCTACACTAATTCTCCATATTCGCCTACATCAATATAGCCGGAAAAGTGTTGGAACTGTGAAAAAGTGAGCATCCATTTACGAGTTTAAAGAGGAAAAGCGAATGAAAATTCAGAAAATTTTCTACACTAATTCTCCATATTCGCCTACATCAATATAGCCGGAAAAGTGTTGGAACGGTGAAAAAGCGAGCATCCATTTACGAGTTTAAAGAGGAAAAGCGAATGAAAATTCAGAAAATTTTCTACACTAATTCTCCATATTCGCCTACATCAATATAGCCGGAAAAGTGTTGGAACGGTGAAAAACCGAGCATCCATTTATGAGTTTAAAGAGGAAAAGCGAATGAAAATTCGGAAAATTTTCTACAATAATTCTCCATATTCGCCTACATGAATATAGCCGGAAAAGTGTAGGAACGGTGAAAAACCGAGCATCCATTTATGAGTTTAAAGTTTTCTACACCCTATTCCCATTTCCACTTTTCTCTACATAGCCGAAAAGTGTTGGAACGGTAAACACCTGACCCTTCACATTCATGAGATAAAAGATGAAAAGGGAATGAAAATAGGAAAATGTTAATCGGTAAACCGACGGTATTATCATAGAAAGTGGTCCCGGAAATTAAAAGAAAATAGAAAATGTTTTATACTAGTTTTTCTTTTAGTCTATTTCTAAACAGAAGAAAATCGTGTGTATTTGATTTTTTGATTACGATTACGCGATTATGATTACGTGATTACGATTACAGTGATTTTGATTACTTGATTATGAATACAGTGAATTCGATTACATGATTACGATTACATTGATTTTGATTACGTGATTACACGATTGTAATCGTAATCAGGTTTATGATTACGATTGTAATCATGTAATCAGGTAATCGTTTCATACTTTTGCTATAATTATAGTGCTACTGTATCAAGTATAAAATTGGCGTGGTCATAAAGTTTTATTTTCAGTTGTAATCATGTAATCATTGATTACGATTTTGCCCATCTCTGATATATATATATATATATATATATATTGTTACGTACCCTTTGTCAACAAAATCAAACGAGTTTCCTTTTTCAATTTACTATTTATTTTAACACATAACATTAATTCTCAGGTTGGGTTCTGACAACTGAACACTCATTCAACATTAAATAACTATAATCTACACTAATTTACTAATTACTAAATACACTTCTATATAATTTAAAATAGTTTTATAAAATAATTTGTCCCGGTCTAAACTTTTGGTTCTATCACTCTGTCACATAAATGGCATTGTTAGCACTCACCCAAATATTTACGCCTGTCAGTGAAACAATCTCTTCTTACTTACGAATGTTCCGTTTTCTGTACCACTTAATTCTTTTCTGTTATGTTTCTGTCCTCCAACATAAAACAATCCCTTTCACCTTCTCAGCCTGCCGGCTAGCACCCTCTCACCTGGCAGCTCGTCACCTTCTCTCTTGACAGCTTGTCACATTCTCTCTTGGCCGCTATCACCTTCTCTCTTGGTGGCCCGTCACATTCTGAGTTACATGAGGCTTGCTTCCCCCACCTCCTCCCCGTAGTTGGCGCTGTTACCACTTCCGCGCCACTATTCAAATAGTCGTTTTAATTAAATGTTGATTGTTCCAATGTAGGAACAACTTCCGTTAATTTTTTAATGTGTCATCTGTCAAATTTTCACCTTAACATCTATACAGTACCCTTGATTTTAAATATAATAGTCAAAAACTAAAAAAAATCACCCACTATAATCCTTATAAAATTTTAATATTTCAATATTAAATTTAAATAATTATAAGAACATACATAAAATCATTAAAAAAAAAAAAAAACTGTACCACTACAACCCATGAAGGATCTTGGGTTCAGTACTGTTTTAAGGCCAACGGTTATGCAGGGAGGGGATTGGGCCAGGATCACGCTCAACTGCCAGGTTTTCCTCCTCAATCAATTATTTAATTAAGGTACCCACTTTGTAGAGGGTGGGTATGCCCAAGGAGGGTCGCCCAGGCCCAATGAAACAGTATAAATAAATAATTTTTCTGCCATGAGCCGAGATTCGAACCTGGAACATTAAGCATTGGAAGCTAAGTGCCCTACCACTGAGCTACCCCGCTCCTTTACATAAAATCACTAATACCATCAATCTAAATTTATGTTTAAAATTTATCAGTGCATTCACCTTTTAATGTAAATTAAATAAAATTGATAAGATTTGAAAAATTAATAATTTTTTTTTTATTACAACATTTTTTACATTTTATATTATCCAAAGATAAACTAAAATTATTTAAAACATTTTACAATCTATTGGGCAATTCTCTTCAATAACCATAGTAAGAAATATTTAAATAACAATGGTTTGATAGTCGTTTGGTCATCTCTCCTGGTTTGTCTCTATCGATGCGAAAGATCACTCTCTGTGTGATTGTGATAGTGTAATAAAAAGTAACACAACTAGATCTTCGTAAACAGTGATATCATCATCAAGACGGATCACATTCTGTGTGCCCAAGCCTTGAACATTTAAATTTGTATTTGTTATGTACGTATCATAATAATTAAAATTCCCGCTTTTTAAAGTTCCTGTTTCACTGCTATCCAGGACCAACTTGTCACTCTTAATATACACAGTTAACTATTAAATATCCAATACAAAAAATAATTATACTCAGGGGATTCAAATATATATGGGACAAGTGGATCTTTGATATAAAGAGATTAAACTATATGTGTATGAATAAAATAATTCGCCTAATGTTCTTAGAGTCGTGCTAAAGCTAAGATATTGCAGATGTAATAAAATATATTCAAGCATAAAGATATTATTCATTTTCTTAAATTTTTTTTACCATTTATTTCTTACGCAAATAACGGTTTTCTTTTTTTTATCCTTGGTATCCATATACAAACCCCAAGGTTTGTAGGGTAGTTTGATAGAAGCGCTACTTCACTACCTCACTTGATTGAAATGTTCTTAAAAAAGTATGCAATCTTTATAAAATATACTTGATATTTGAAATAGGGAAAGTTTCCCTTTTATTTTAAAATCATGATTAACAATATAATTTTTATCAACTATATACTTATATAGAAAATTATTTGTATTTAAATTATTTTAGTTTATGTGTTGATGGTTGACTGTAATAAATCAAGTAAGAGATGGACCAAGAGTTGGTCAGAAAAAACATCAAATAACTGTCAACTATTTATTCAGTTCCAATGTTTCAAGAGCCTGCCTGCTAGCTGCTCTGGAGCTGGGGCCCAAAAATTTACCTGATCGTAGGTGAAGGTTTGATTGTAAATTATGAAAGTGTATGTTATTCTGAGTAAAAAGAATCTATTCTGCCATTCTAGAGCCGCTGCTCTCAAAAATGGCGGCTGATTTAAAGAATATTAGGCCAATAATTTGAGAATTGAAACGGGAAATCCGTTACAAAAACTACGATACGACCTACAATAAAAATGTCAGTACTTAGTTGACACACAATTTGATTCAATGAGTTTTTCCTATTAGAAAACTCATTTCCAAGTTACAGGGTCATTTATAGTAATTAGTCTTGGTTTTTGACAAATTTGGTAAAAATCAGCATTGGTTGACCGTGATTTTATTCTTTACTTTCGTAATTTACAATCAAACCTCCGCCTGCAATGAGGTCAATTTTTGGGTCCTGGCTCCAGGGCTATGCAGGTAGACTAAGCAGGCTCTTAGTCTCAATTGGCTCTAGCAACTATTCAGTTGACTACTACTTTTCTCCATATTTGAGTTGAGACAAAGATCTACAATGTGTGTAGAAATATTAGCATTGAATAAATAGTTAGCAGTGATTTTATATTTAACTCCCTGATCATCTCTTTCTTTATTCTTATAATTTGTAAGTAAAATTCTTGTCTTTTACATATTTATTTCAGGTAAGTGTTGGAGGTGGTTCTGCTTGGGAATGGAATGAAAAACGAAAACAATTTTATTTACATCAGTTCAACGTTTCACAACCTGATTTTAACTTCACAAATCCTGCTGTTATTAACTATTTCCAAGTAAGTAACTATTTACCAGTTTTTGATATACATTTATGTATAAATATCCTCTGTTGGTTTTTAACCACCCAACCAATCTTGAATTTACGTAGATATTTTCTTTTTTTTCGACTCAAGATACTAGCATTGGTGAGGAAGTTCATCCACAATGTAGGTATTTTGGTATTATGTGCCATTCCTAGAGCTTGCCATCAATTTTTCCTAAATAATTTTATCCGGTTCTCTTCAGCTGTGGAATTTGATCAAGATATTTTCCCAATTAAAGTTCACCCTAAAGTAGCTCCTTATTTCTTATAGCTCTAATAATAGGATTGATAGTAGGCCCATTCATTACAGAAATTTCCTCCCTTTTCATGTCTAACTTGACCCTTTCACACACTCACATTACTGTCATCAATTTCATTTGTCTATACATTATTCCATAACATATACTCATTTTAGGTGTAAGGTGGATGGGGTTAAGACACGAGAAAATGTTGAATAGTTATGCCCCTATGAAAAGCATTTTCTCAGTAAAGGTACTATAGTCATATGTCAGTGTATGTATATATATATCGGGGTAGCCGTATGGGCTAAGGCACTTGCAATAGGTAATCAAAGTTAAGCAACGATGAGCGTGGTCAGTACTTGGATGGGTGACCGTCCACCACGGAAAGACATGCTGCCCGAGATTCCTCCCCCCCCCTCAGGTATGTGAGACCCGTCAGCCTACTGGAGGCAACTCACGCCGCAGGGGGGTGAGTGACCCTGTGGTAGACATAGCTCCTGGTCCTCCAGGTTGGGGGTTGGGCTTAGGGCTAATAACCCTATCCCGCACGACATCCCGTTACCGAGACTGGGCCTCCTCCAAGAGCCTCCGCCAGTTGGCTCTGTCTTCTGCTGCAGCTCTCCAGTTCCGTACACCAAGCAGGGTTCTCGCATCATAGGCCACGTTGTCCAACCATCTCGTCCTTGGCCTTCTTACCCGTCTTACGAGGTCCTACCCATCATTATTTTCTTTGGTATTTCAACGGTGCTCATTCTGGCCACATGCCCTGCCCACCTTAGTCTGGCCATTTTAATATACGTGACTACATCGATGTCTGTATAGAGAGAACTGAGCTCCCTATTTTTCTTTTCCTCCAGACATCACCCTCCTTTACTGGACCATAAATCCTTCTGAGGACTCCTCGCTCAAACACACTCAGCTTCATCTCATTGTTTTTAGTCATCGTCCAAGCCTCTGAGCCATATGTCAAAACAGGCCGAACAAGGGTCTTGTATATGATCAGCTTGGTCTTCTTTGAGAGGTACCTACTTCTTAAGTGTCGGCCAAGTCCAAAGACACATCTATTGGCAGCCGTGATCCTTCTTTGTATTTCTTGAGCCATGTCATTTTTGCTATTAATTTCAGACCCAAGGTATATAAAACTTTTCACTCTCTCAAACTTAAAAGAACCTACCTCAAATGGAGAGTTCAGATCCACCTCACCACCAACTCTCATATACTTAGTTTTCCTCTCGTTGACTTCTAGACCAAGTGGTCTTGCAGCTGCTTCAAGGCCTATAAACGCTTCTCTGAGATCCCGTTCAGACCTACCTATTATGTCAATATCATCAGCAAAACCAAGAAGCTGTGTCAGGCGATTGAAGATTATATCATTGGTCTGAATACTGGAGTCTCTTACAACTTTCTCCTCTGCCAAGTTGAACAATAGACAGGCGAGGGCATCCCCTTGCCTAACCCCACTGCTCACTTTAAACTCTTCGGAGTCGTCAGAACCGACGCGTATTCTACATCTTGAGCTGTCCATGGTCATCTTGATTAGGCGTACGAGCTTCTGAGGGATGATTAGCTCCTCCAAGGCACAGTATAGTTGCGTTCTATCAACGCTGTCGTATGCTGCTTTAAAGTCTAGGAATAAATGGTGGGTGACTACCTTAAGCTCCATAGTCTTTTCTATGATCATCCTCAGAGAGAACAGTTGATCAGTGGTTGAGCGTCCTCTTCGAAATCCAGCCTGATATTTCCCCAGTTCCTTTTCAGAATACGGGAGGATCCTCTCAAAAAGAATGTTAGAGAGCAGCTTATAAGCACACGAAAGGAGTGAGATTCCTCGATAGTTAGCGCATTCTGTTTGATCTCCTTTCTTATGTATTGGGCAGATAATGGCTGTTGCCCATTCGGTAGACATAGCTTCCCTCTCCCAGATGGTCAGCATTAAATCATGCAGAGCTTTCTTGAGTTCTTCACCTCCACATTTCAACAGCTCTGACTGGATTCCGTCTGGGCCTGGCGCCTTTCCATTTTTCAATTTCCTCAGGGCGTTTTCCATTTCCTCCTCATCCGGGGGTTCAATAGAATTCAGGGAGTCTTCCTTCATTACTCCTACTTCTCCAGGCACCGTTCCTCTGTTTAATGCGTTTTTGAAATGTTGTACCCATCTCCTTAGTACATCATCTTTGTGGCTTAAAAGAGTTCCATTCGTGTCTTTGCATGCCGTCACTCTGGGCCTGAAAGCTGCCCTACCCTCGTTTATTCTCTGAAAGAACAGCCGACTTTCATTTTGGCCGCGCAATGCCTCTGTGTCCTCCAGGTTCTTATTTTCCCAAGCTCTTCTCTTTCCGCGGAATAATCTCTTCTCTTCGCGTCTTTTTTTCGATATGTTTCTTGGGAGAGCCTTGTGGGACGCTGAACCTTCTTTCTGTAGGCTTCATTTTTCACTTTTACTGCTTGAAGGCACTCAGCCTCAAACCATGGGGGCCTTTCTTTCTGTAGGCTTCATTTTTCACTTTTACTGCTTGAAGGCACTCAGCCTCAAACCATGGGGGCCTTCTAGATTTAGTCTCGTAGCCAAGAGATTCTTCTGCTGCCTGTTTCATTGCGTTGCCGCATCTCTTCCACTGTTCATCGACCATAGAGCTGTCATTAATTACTTCTTCATTAAGTTTCGTCTCCACAGCTTGTTGATACGAATATTGGTGGTCTGAGTCCTTAAGTTTAGCTACATCAATCTTCTTCTTTCATCGTTGGTGGTGGTTTTTAATCAGCGAAATTCGTGATCTGACCTCGGCAATGCTCAAATAGTGATCCGTGTCCATATTTGCACCTCTATAAGATCTTGCATTTATCATGTTGGACTTGTGACGGGCACTAATGAGTACATGGTCTATCTGTGATGTTGTTTGCCCATTTGGAGAGGTCCATGTTGCTTTGTGGATATTCTTTCGAGGAAAAAGAGTTGTTCCAACAACCAGTCCGTGCAATGTTGCAAAGTTCACCATCCGTAGCCCATTATCATTACTGGTCTCATGCAAGCTGTGGGTTCCTATGGTCGGCTACCTCCTTACCAACTTGGGCGTTAAAGTCACCAAGAATGATTTTAACATCATTTTTGGGGCAGCTTTCTGTCACGCGTCCAAGTTCTTCATAAAATGTTTCCTTATCCTCCTCAGGTGGCACCTCTGTTGGGGCATGGCAGTTGATTAGAGAGAAATTAAAAAATTTTCCTCTAAGCCGAATGTAGCATAACCTTTGGTTAATGGGAGTAAATCGCATCACTAGCTGTCGAGCTCTGCCTCTCACAACAAATCCGGTACCGAAGATGCTTTTCATGGCAGCTATAGTAGAGTGTATAGTACTTCTTCTCCATAATTCCCTGTCCTATCCATCGGACCTCTTGGATAGCTGCTATGTCGATTCTGTATGTGTCCACTTCTGCAAGGAGCGCACGAAGTGCTCCTAGTCTATGTAATGATAAAATGTTCCAAAATCCAATTCTTAGGTCATTTAGGCGTTTCCTGGGTCTGGTACCGTAATTCAGTCCGGCTTCTTCTCTTTGAGGTTTCGTAATAAGGTATTTTAGGGGGGGTGGGTTATCAGCCCACTACCCCCGAGTCAGGTAGAGGGGCTGCCTCCTCCGAGCATCCTGACTAGCTCTCCCATCCGGGGCTACCTAGGGAAGGTGACTCTAGGGTGTGTACTGTAGGTGACCTTTGTCTGTAGTGTTTAGGTGTTGTAGTGTGCTGTATAAAGTGTATTTGGTGTGTGAGTGTTCGTGTAAGTGTTCCCCCAACCTGGAGGGCCAGTGGCTGGTTGCGGTACAATGACCGCCACCTCCCTGCGCCTAAAATGCCATATTAAGAAACCTAAAACCAGCCTCGGAAAATCTGACTGTCTTAACATGGTAACGACTCCAGCTTTGTATTACGGACTCCATATCGGATCATGGAATGTTCGAAGCTTATACAGACCAGGAGCCACCCAAACAGTAATTAATGAAGTAAAAAGGTACAACATATCGTTAACAGCCATTCAAGAGGTAAGGTGGCCAGATGGTGGGGAAACCACTATAGACTGCTACTCACTGTTCTACACCGGGAGAAACGACAAAAATGGGACAGCTGGCACTGGATTTATAGTTAATCCGGCCGCAAGGAAGTCAGTAATAAACTTCACCCCAGTTAATGAAAGGATAAGAGTGCTGCGCGTAAGAGGTTGTTGGTTTAATATCACAATTATAAACGTGTATGCACCAACCGAAGAAAAAGAGGATGAGGTGAAGGATGATTTCTATGATCAGTTAGAAAAAGTTGTGGACCAGGCTCCAAAACATGACATAAAATTATTCATAGGAGACTTGAATGCCAAGATAGGTCGAGAAACCCAATTTAAGCCCATCATGCGGCAGCAGCTAAAGGTCTTGTAGTAAGCAGTAGGATGTTCCTGCACAAGGACATACATAAGTATACCTAGGTAATTCCTAAAGGAGCAAAAAGCCAAATCGACCATGTGCTGATAGATAAGAGGCATCAAAGCTCAATACAAGACATAAGGAGTTATCGTGGAGCAGACTGTGATCCGGACCATACTCTGATTAGAATCAAACTCTGTCAGAGGCTGAAGCGAATCCACCGAATTAGGAACCAAGTGGAAAGACAGAGGCACGAAGTCCATAATTTGAAAAACCCTATAGTACAAGCTGAATTTCAAACTGAGCTGAAAAATAAATTCGAACCTTTGAACTCGGAAGGTCTCATGGTTGACCAACACTGGAAGGCACTAGAGTCAGGGCTAAAACAAACAGCTAAGGAAGTAATAGGGATTCAGGAAAAAATAAAAGCCAAGAAATGGTTCACAGAAGCATGCGAAAAGACAGTGGAGGAAAGAAGAAAAGTCTGCTTACAAACTGATCAAGCTATGCTGGACAAATACACAGCCGCCGGGAAAAAGACAAACAAAATAATAAGAACAGCCAAAAGAGAATTCCTCAAAGAAAGATTAAAAACTATTGAGGAAATCTGGCAGGCTGGAAAATATGCTAATTCTTCGCAGATATCAGGAAAGAAAGGGTAGGATATAAAGCGAGAAATACACAAATGCGAAGGAAAGATGGCAAATTGACGGCATCAAAAGAAAAGATCCTAAGTATCTGGAAGGAACACTTCCAGCAGCTGCTTAATCAAGGGCACCCCACAAACGAAGAAGACATGGACCACACTGAGGACATCGACCCACTTGAGGTTGAAAAACCAGATATTCTGGATGTGGAAATAGCTATCGGCAGGCTTAAAAGAAGAAAGGCTCCAGGGATAGACAACCTACCATCAGAATTGTTCAAGGATAGGGGAGAAGAACTCAGAGCCAAGCTGTTAGATCTAATCCAGAAGATATGGGAGAAGGAACGGATACCAGAAGCATGGAACACAGGATTGATCTGTCCTATCCTTAAGAAGGGCTCCATGTATGAATGTGGCAATTACAGAGGCATAGCACTTCTTCCGGTCGCCTATAAAATAATGACTAATATTCTGATAAATCGGATATATCCATATTATGAAAACATAATAGGCGACCATCAAACAGGATTCAGGAGAGGAAGGAATACGCTAGATCAGATATTCATTCTGAAACAAGTACTTGAAAAATGATGGGAAGTAGATCAGGACGTACACACATTATTTGTCGACTTCAAATCAGCCTATGACTCCGTTGACAGAAACTGTCTCTGGAAGATCATGACTGAGCTGGGTGTTCCCTGGAAGTTAGTGAGGTTGACAAAGGTGTGTACAAATGATCCGAAATGCAGAGTACTAACATAAGGAGATGTATCTGAAGCCTTGAAGTTGGAACGAGTTTGAGGCAGCGAGATGGACTCTCGCCAATGCTGTTCAACTTAGCACTAGGGAAAGTAATAAGAATAACATTACGCGAAGATGATATAGCTGTCCTCGGAAGTAATCAAGAGGATATTGAGGGACTCGCTCGGACTCAATTAAAAGAAGCAGAGCAAATCGGACTACAGGGCAATGTAGATAAAACTAAATACATGATAGTTAGCCGAAACATCCACCCTAATAACATGATCTGCGTGCATTCTAAGTCATTCCCGAAAGTAGACAGATTCAAATACCTTGGCTCCACAATAACCTCAATAAATGATCAACTAACAGAGATAGATCTGCGAATAACAAGTGTGAACAGATCTTTCTTCTTTCTTTGAAAGGTACTGAAATCCAGAAATCTCTAAATAAGGGTGTACAATGCCTTGATTAAGCCAGTTCTGCTGTACGGTTGTGAAACCTGGAAAGCAGTAGCCCAAGATAGGCAGAGTTGGAGAAGGATGGTTCAGGAGGCCAAAGATCTACAAGGTCTGTAGAGCCAACCGAAAAAAAAAATATATATATATGTTGTCTGATTCCTGACTATAGAGACCATGCTTCACATTTGGAGCATATACATTAATGATTCTTAAATTAAACTACGCATCTTTGTATGACACTTGTAATCAACAGAGTAAAGTGCCTGCCAGATTTCCTTTTTGTTGAAACACCTTATAAATGCTATTTCTGTTTTTCCTGGTATAAAGTTCAGGAAAATGATTATCTCTATAGTAAAGGAAGAAAGTAAAGGGAGCAAGTTCCGCTCATTTCATTCTCTTTGTAATGAGCTATTATTCAATATTGTATATAAACTCGACACCGTATTAGGGAGGCAAAAAGGAAGAAAATATAGTCGAAAACCAACTGATAACAAGTTTCATTGAACATTTGGGTTAAAATATCTCAGAAACTAAAATTCGGACCTGCATACTTTAGACAAGCGAAATTTTCAGCTTTTCATCCTCTTTCTAATGAGCTATTATTCAAAATGTTGAACTTTTTGTTGGGTTCAATGCCCCTATAACCTTAAATTGACCTGTCTGAGCTGGCAGATGCGCATTTTCATTATGCCTAAAAGGAGTAATATAAGCTTGATAGGTTGAAAATTTGCTTAAAACAATACGACCTTTTTGGCCCTGGCTCCAGGTCCAACAGGAGGAGGGGGAATGATTGATTAAAGCAAAGCGGTTTTAATATACTTTCATCAAAATGGTTAGTTCAGATTATTATTTTTTCTGGAGCACTGATCCAAAGTTTGTAAGTAGGTTAATAAAAAAATTTCTATTTTTCACAAATTTTTTTCATTTTTATTTTATTATAGATTTCATTCATTCTTATATTATTTCTCAAATACCTCATGATTCGACACTTAGTGTAACATTAAAGAAATCAAAGATGAAGAAATACTTCAAAATTTAAAATTGCATTACTTTAAAAACTTTCTTTTGATTTTATTTCTATGGTTACAAGACATGTTTGTTGATAATTAAATGTATCATGAGATTAATTTAAATCTCATAAATTATTTATTTTCTGTTTTACTTATAAGTCAGTTTTTATAAGAATTCAATTTTATATTTCTAGGATGTATTCAAATTTTGGTTAGAAACTGGATTGAGTGGCCTGCACCTTGATAAAGTAGAATATTTGATAGAAGACAGTCAGTTGAAAAATGAAACTCCTGATGGATCAGCTACTGGAACTACACAAATGGATTACAAGTTTTTCTCTCATACACGTACTACATACTTGTCAGAAACTTTAGTTGTTTTATCTGCATGGGCTAATATTTTCAAGAATTATTCCGCGTAAGTATTTTTTTAAATAATAATTTGTATTATGTAGAGCGATATGGGGATATTGTGTTCTAAACCAAGTATAGGCAAACCTTGTTTTACAGAGACCTGGCAAAGGCTCCTTGAGTAGGCTAAGACCTACAGAGGTTGTAAAGTCATATTAAGATTAAGATCAATCAAATTATATATATTTTCATCAAGAAGGACTCCACTTAAGACTTTTCTTGGAACAGAGCCTGACATAAGGACAAGAACCATCTATAATATGGTTCTTATAAACAGTATTGTTTAGAGATGGGCATTTTTGTTGACTATATTTATTAAGTAATGAGGATAAGTAATGAGGATTTTCAGTCTTGATTTGTTTTATTCAGCTAGGTAACCCAAGCATGTGAGTTGAAACATTAGCAAGCTGAATAAATCAAATTTATACTGCTAATCCTAATCATTTATCATTCTTATAAACAGTATTAGTATTTATTTATAATTTTGATAAATGCTTCATATTAAAATAAGTTTTATTCACAATTTTGGCTAAAATTGCATTAATAATTGATGTAATTTTTATGTTACATTTATGCGATAAGTTTTTTCCTCCCAACTATTATTTTAATACAGATCTGTATTTGATTTAATAGCAATTTCTAATTGATGATAGCAACAATAATCTATTGTTTATAATTAATTGATAACAACAATGAGTGATATTTTTATTTCCAGGATTTTATCAGTTAGTGGTATCCAAGATGGTGTAAATTTTGAAAAAGGAGATTTCATTTATAGGCCTATAAGAGTTACAAAAGATCTGAAAGCAAGAGAACTTTATGATGCCATACGCAGTCGTTTGAATAAAACCTCTCAAACTTGGGGAGTATGTATTGTTATATATTTTGAATATTTGTGTATGTATATGCAACAATGTGAATTTTTCAAAATAATATGCTTAAATTTCTATATAATTATCCCTCCCTGGTTTTAAAGTTTAAATTATGTCCTGGTAATTAACTAAACCTCTAAGTTAATTTTTATTGTTCTTTTATTATTGATTAAAATGTTGTTCTGAATAAGGAATGATTATCTATGGATAATAAGGAATAATTATTCTGAATAAGGTGCTTTCTCTTAAATTATTAACAATATGGTTTATCAAATTGTTGGATTAAATAAATAATTTAGCATTATATATTTGCTCCCACTCCACAGTGGGCTGTTTAAGCAATAGAGTGGAATTAAATTCAAAACAGACATGTATATGAAAAATCATGAAATGTTTATGAAATTACTGATTATTATAAAGATAATAAAACATTATTTGATCACAATTTCACTTATTATATTGAAAAATCATGTAATTTTTATGAAATTACTGATAATTACATTTTTATTTTATTTTAAATTAATTTTTATTAGTTCTTATTTAGATTAGTTTTTTTTTTTTTTTTTTTTTTTTTTTTTTTTTTTTTTTTTTTTTTTTTTTTTTTTTTTTTTTTTTTTTTGCGCGCGACACTTCAAATACCTAAAGAAATAAAATTTATAAATATAAATTATGTAATAATTTTATGTAAATATATTTAATTTTTTCGCTTTCAGGTTGAAAATTAGCTGTGCACAGGTTATGCATATTTAGAAGCTGTTTCTTAGAACTGTATTCTACAGTTTTTATTCTGTTGCATCCAGAAATAGCTCCTAGGTATACTTTCTATCGTGCCGCTTGAAGACCGCCATACTGTAAAATATCGTTCAAAGATATTGATATTACACAAAGGGAGACAAAAAAAAAAAACAAAAAAAAAACGGGAACTTCATCATAACTTCTTTATTTTTTAACATTTTTACACCAAATTATGATCACCTTCAAAGTGTTCTCCCTTGACCACAATGCACCTCTCCAAAGGATCCTTGCATTGTTCAAAACATTTTTTAAGTTCACTTATCGGGATGTTCTTTAGGCCTTCCAGCGATTTTTGTTTTATCTCCTTCACAGTTGCAAAACACTTTCCTCTTGTGTCCCTTTTGAGTCTGAGGAACCAAAAGAAATCACAGGGGAATAGATCCGGTGAGTAAGGGGGGGGAGGAGGGAGGGCGGACAATCATTGTCATGTCATATTTGGTCAAAAGCTGCTTTATGGAGAGGGTGGTGTGGGCCGGCACATTGTCATGATGTAAGGCCAGTCACCTGTGCTCCAAAGATCTGCCCTTTTCTTCCGGATTCTCTCCCTCAATCTTTTCAAAACTTACAAGTAGAACTTCTGGTTGACAGTCCGACCCAGGGGAACGAGATTTGTGTGAACAACATCTCTGTAATCAAAGAAACAAATGAGCATTTTTTTTATTTTTGACTTCACTTGGTGGGCATTTTTGGGAGGACGAGAGCCAGCTGTCTTCCACTGGACATTAAGGGGCATCCTCCATGGGGTTGGTCTTCAGTTGACATTTCACCATTTTTTAAACATGTAAACCACTCGTAGACTCTGGTTTTACATAGGGCAGCATCCCCATAAGCAGTTTTAAGCATTACAATAGTTTCCACGACCAATTTCTCCAACAGGAAACAAAATATCACGTGTTGCTCCCTACAATAGGTCATCACATTTCGGCAAAATGGAAAAAGTTGTTAAACTTTTTAGAAACTAAAAAATTTCTAATTAGCGAACCAATGCACTCACAGCAACATAACTCCATACACTAACTCAGGAGACTTTTCCCTAACGAAAACCGGGTCAAACAATGGGTTCCCCCACTCTCCCTCCCCACTACATCCTGATTCCTGTTACTTTTGGGTCCCCCCTCTTATAAGTTAATTAAAAACTTTCATAAACTCATTTTATAATCTTTTGTGCTCATTAGTATTGTATTTTTATCGTTTAAATGATAGAAAATGGTGCTTCTTATGCCTATGGTGCCTACGACTCGATAAATTGCTCTCTACTTTCAGTGTTTCTAATGTTTACTCATATTTCTTGTTTTTGTTTAGACTAATTCTCCTTTTCCTAACTGCACCAATGTATAAACAGATGTTTTATGTAATTTTCCTAAAAAATATTCACTATCAATATTCCAACTTTTGTGCTGCCAGATTACCTGAATCTGCCCACTATGCACTGGGCTCATTCCTGTAATTGGAAATTTTTTATAACAGTTCCTTTGCACCTCAAGATTCACTTGGGTAAATATTCTATTGATACTAGTTATTTAATATTCAGTTTTAAAGTCTAATAAAATATGATTAGGACACATTTTTGGCAATTATGTGACTACTTATAAATCGCAGTGCTTTTATTGGGTATATTAAATGGAAACCCTTTTCCCTCTACCGATTACAAATGGTTTGAATAGAAATCACAGTTCTTGTATCACATTTGAGTTTGCTTTAGAGAACAGGCGAGGATCTGATTATATATAAAGACTTGTAGCTATATAAATCGGTCCTCATATGGATCTTGGCCATCTCGTTAATCAAATACTCCTGTTTCCTGGTACCTTTCCCATAAATGCTGGATTAAAGAACGTCTGATCCTAAAACAGTGGCTTACCTCCCTTACTCCTAGGACTTTCTCTATTAACAGCTTTGGAAAGATTCTGCTGTACACCTGGTAAAAGATCCATGACACACAAAAAAAAATATCAAATATCAATGAAAATAGCAGGATAGATAGTAAAATATTTTGTTGGAGCATCAGGCCTTCCATATTCTTGAAGTAGGGGGAATAAAACCTGGATGCTGAAATAGATAGATCAGAAGGAGGGTGTTCATGGGGGAAATGATTGAATTAAATTTTTAAAAACCTGTACCACTACAACCCATGAAGGGTCTTGGGTGCAGTACTATGTGAGGAAGTACTATTGCAAGGCCTACAGTTGTGCAGGGAGGTGATTGGGCCGATATCATGCTCAGCCACCAGGTTTTTCTTCTTAATTGACTATTTAATTAAGAGTATCCACTTTATAGTGGCTGTGTGTGTTCCAGGAGGGTCTCCCAACCCCAAGGACGATCCACGGTTGATGAAAAATTACTAGTCATCAGCCAGATACGAACCTGGGACCTTGAGCTCTGGAAGTCAGTGCTCACCCACTGAGCTACCCCACTCGCTAAAATCAAATTAAGGTCGACATAAAGTATATTAGAAAATAAACTTAAAAATTATATGCTGCTGATGGGGGTGCCAACTTGTGTACATTATGGTTAATTAGTTACTGTGGATTTAAGAAATTGTACTCATATTGATTAAGTAGATGTAGAAGATGGCTGGTGGAATGATTAGATAGATAATGTATTTCTAGAGTTCACATGAAAGTACTGCTGCAGATTTATATCTTAATATATCCAGGTACAGTATTCTCATCATTCTTGCTTCTCTACTGCCTCTTCCTGGCCACTTCTTGATCTATACTTGGTCATGGAGACCATTTTGTAGACTCTAGTTGATCTCTTCTTCTCCTTGCTAATAGATGGTGCTCCTCTCTTTTTACTGATTTCAAATTATAGTTTATAGTGTCCTTAACAATATTGATAAATAAGGCAGAAAATACCTCCATTCCTATTAATCTGAACAAAAGTGATAATAACAAATTCGGAAAAACGGTAAAAGAAAACAATAGTCTCTCCTGGGATCTTAACCATAATATATTGTATTCAAAATATGTTTTCAGAGTATACTCATTCATGCAGAAAAACAATAACTAATATTATCCCATTAATTTGTTCACCATGTGTATTATTTATTTACCTTAATTTGAAAGTGATGAATGTTTGAATGTATCTGTTTGTTTTTGTGCATATTTACACGTAACTATAAATTATACTATATTTAATTTTGAAAAATGACCTTAGTTGATATTGTAGATTGTATGTGATTCAAATGAACCTTGTAATGAAAATAAATTGATTGGACTTCAAGTATTACTATTGATGCTACCAGGTACAGCAGTGATTGAAAGTGGCCTTGAGCTTGGCCTTCCTCTTTCTTATATATTCCAATGGGACACATCATTAAAGAATCAAGGTATCTTTTGATAAAATAAATTGTGATATTTTTATTTAATGTACTGTATAATGCTCATCACCAACATTTTCTTATAAAATCTCATTTATAAGATCAACATTTTCTTATAATAATAGCAATTGTTGTTGAGTTAGCTAGAAATTTAGTGTTAACATGTTTTTTTTTTTTTTACTTATATCTTAATAATTTTCCATATCTATGGTAGCTTCCTTCTTTTCAAGCTGCAAGCATTATCTCTGTTCAGTGGTGCTATTAAATGTCACTTATCTAACCATTCCCTATCTTTAGTCAGTGACTACATACATATGATTCTAAAGACAAAGAAAAATTATTAGAACACATAAATAGTATAAGCTAGCTATTCTATAAAATCTGAATTTGATTAACAATGTATAAATTACTGGTGTATTTTTTTTTTCCCTCAGTTCCTAATTTTCTTCACGTCTAAGTGTATAACAAATAAAATAATAGTCATTATGTATTTTTTTTTTATTTCATGATAAATTCTCCATTATTTATAATTTACTATATAAGAATATAACTCCTATTTAAAAAGCAATCATGTAACTCCCAAAGATTCATCATTTTTAAAATTTCTCTAATTTTGTTTTCCTCGCCAATATTTACATGAAACGAAGTCTATTCAAAGCATATTATCTAAAAACTATATAAATATTTTTGGCTTAGAGATTCTTTGGATGCCAGCAATAATGATATTTGTGATGAATGTCTAATAAAATGAAAATGAATAATTTAATGTAAAATACTACTAAATAAATGTGTTAGCATGGTCACAAATTGGTTGTTATGATTCATTTCCAGAATTTGGCAATTCCTCAGTCTGCTGAGAATATTCACCTACCCGGACTCAATAAGTCAAGGGTTAGGTTCTGTTTATGAAATATTTAAACATTTTCTGACTATGCTGATGGTCTTCCTGACCTTCTAGGATATAATCTAGAAGTCTCAATACTTTGCAGGTTTTTACTGTTTCCTCTGGGACCAATCTGTTACTCGAAATGATGAAGGGCAACATCTTTTCTTGTTTTAGGCTGTACAGTTGTTTTAGTTCCTCGCTGAGCTTTTGATATTTTCTCATCTTTTTGAATATTATCATTGTTGGGAACTCCTATTTCAATTATTGCAGCTGTCCTTTCCTTTTTATGTATAACCAGAATATTTGGCACGGTATGGTTAGTGATTGTAGGTTGATCCCAATAAATGGTTGTTTCTTTATCAGAAAGAATAGATTGCAGGGCGTAACAATAGTAAGGTTTTGATCCTTCAGTAAATTTTTAATACTTGGCCAAGCTTTGATGGATTACTTTTGCCAAGTTATTATGCCTCTTTAGGTACTCTCACCCTGCTAATATTGTGCAGCCAGATATTATACACTGAATGAACTCAATTGTTCCTTTGCAGATTATACATTTAACACTAACGTCCTGATTAAATATATATTTGTGGTAGGAGTTGGTTGCATCTCTTGTTCTTGACAGCTTTTGAAAAGGCTAATGAATCCTCTTCCACCTTGTTTCCTTGGGAGATATAACCTAGAAACTGAAGACTTTGGATGTCTTTTTCTTCTCACAGTCATCATCACTCTGAGTATACGGTCTAATGCTTTCAAGCTGATGTCTGTCCACTTCAACACTCCAAACCTATATGATAACACAGGCATAGCCCGTCCATTTACAGCCTTTACAATATTAACCGATGAAAGATGTGTTTTCAGGAGAACTTTGGTTCGTTTTTCAAATTCTTTAATAAATAATTCATGGAATTAGTCCTTGAACTTGAATAGCTCATTTATACCTAGATATTTATAGGAGTCTGATTCCTTGAGCTGTTTTATTATTTCTTTATGTGAGATTTCCATGTTTTCAGCTTACCCTTGTTTATATTTGATACTGCACATTTTTCCAACCCAAGGGTCAAATTAATATCGCTGCTGAATCCTCCCACTAGCTCTTATTAATTCCTCAGGTCTTTCTCATTTCTGGCATATAACTTTATTGTTATAATTATTTTAAATAAAGATTTGTTTTATTGCTATAATTATTATTAATCTTTAATATAACTATTAACGATTAATAGTTATATTAATCACATGCACAAAGTTTTGAATGATAAGATGCAAAACAACCAAAATAAAATCACAATCATTACTCGTGCAATGATGAATATTTCTAATAATTAGGGCCAGGATCTGAAATTTTTTATTTTCCAAGGTATAGATCAAGAAAATTAACATTTAGAGCAAAAAAATATCTTGAGATATTTATTAAAAATTGAGATAAATAAAATCATATTTCTAAAGTATAAACAATGTAAAACATAAAAAACCAATGTTAAACATGAAATGTTTTAAAAATCATATTACTAAACAGGAACATTAAATTATAAGGCTTGCAAAAATTAGAATTTCAAGAATTAACATTAATTTATAACAAGAAGACAACAAATAATTAATTTTTTTTAGCCCTATGGGTCAAATTTCTTGAACTATGTACAATAAATTTATTAAGGAGTTAACCATCTGTTGAGGACAATTCAATACTGAATTAATTACCAAGAGTGTACTTAAAATTAAATATACACTAAAATCATTAAATAAGAAGAGAAACAAGTAGAATGTGTGTTTAATCTGAAAATATCTAGAATGAAGTTGTTATCTTGTAGTTTTTATTTTATTATTTTAGGTTAATTTTTGTGGGCAAAACAATAGTAGATCCCCCACCACTAAGGAAATTTATTTTGTTTAGTTTTATATTTTAAATGTATTACTATTTGACTGAATAAAATGATAAATATTAAAATTTTATTATTTCTAAAAGTTTATTTAGAAAAGTCAACAATGATTTATTATTCACTAAAATTTCATTATTTTTCCAAATTATTTATTTATTTTATTACAATATCCCCAATATTTTCTGAAATATTTAATCATGAATTTATGTTACAGGGTTTTCAGAGAATCAACCTTGGAAACCATTTGAGAACATTTACAGTAATAGGAGTTTAGCCAAAGAAAAAAGTGATCCAAATAGCTTCTATAGTATTTTCAAAAGCATTTTTGACCATAGGCACTCCCCCTCAGTCATGCATGGTGCTACAAATATGATAGTTGTTGATAATTCCATTTTGGTGCTCACCAGGTAAAACTCTGTCTAAAGTTAATGTATTATTTGAGATCAATTTTTTTTACTTTCTTTTCAAATATAGCTTTAGAATTATTCTCAAATAACTCAATAAAAGAATTTTATTGGCTATTATGTTGTCAATTTAAGAATTTTATTAAATAATGGAGTGTTTTTTTAATGTGTCATCTGCATTTAGATAATTTTGGGGCTGCGGTAGTCGAGGCATCTCCAAAAATACACTCAATGTGTAGAGGCTTTTTGTTTAGATTTTTATCGAAATCGAAAAGTCTTAAGTTCAAATCCCATTCATGAAAACAAAAAATATAAAAATTAATAATAAATAAAAATTGCAAGCCCTATTCGATTACTTCGACCGCCAGGGCGCGGGTTTCGATTCACGCATGGGGACAGCAATCCAGAGATGAGTGACCCCTGTGTCTTACAACTTAGCTCCTGACCCTCCAGGTTGGAGGTTGGGCATAGGGCTAATAACCCTATCCCAGAAAAATATCTTACTACGAAACAAAAAGTAAGCCTCGGAAAACCGGACTGTCTAAACAAGGTAACGACTTCGGCTTTAAAACACCGACTATACATTGGACCTGGGAGCATACATATTTTATACAGACCAGGAGCCGCAAAAATGGTAGTTAAAGAACTAAAAAGGTATAACATAGCATTAACAGCCATTCAAGAGGTAAGGCGGCCAAATGATCGCGAAACCATTATCAGCTGCCATCCCCTACTCTTCTCCAGGACAAACGATAAAAATGCGACCATCGGTACGGGATTTATAGTTAGTCCAGCGACAAAGAAATCGATAATAAACTTCACCCCGATAAATGAAGGGATTAGTGTATTACGAGTTGTACACTGGTTTAATATAAAAATAATCAATGTCGTGTAAGCACCAACCGAAAATAAAGATGATGAGGTGAAAATTATTTCTACGATCAGTTGGAAAATATTGTGGACCAAACTCATAGACATGACTAGAAAATTAGTCATAAGTGACTTCAATGCAAAGATTGAATGGGAACCCCAATTCAGGCACATTATCGAAGGCCAAAGCCTGCACAAAAATGGCAATGACAATAGAGCGAGATATATTAGTCTGGCAGCAGCTAAAGGTCTGGTCGTCAGCAATACAGTGTTGCTACACAAGGATACCCATAAGGATACACCTGAATTAGCCCCAAAGAAGCGAAAACCAAATTGACCATGTACTGGTAGACAAGAGACATCAGAGCTCAATACAAGATGTAAGAAGCTATCGTGGAGCAGACTGATTCGGATTAGAATTAGAATTAACCTATGTCAGAGATTGAAGCGAATTCATAAAACAGGGAATCGAGTGGAAAGAATAAGGTGCAAAGTCCATAATTGAAAAATCCTGAAGTAAAAACCAAATTCCAACTTAAGCTGAAAAATAAAATCGAAATCTTGGATTTGGGGAGCCTCACAGTGGACTAAAACTGGGAGGAAATAGAGAAAGGACTAAAAGAAACAGCTAAGAAAGTGATGGGTATTCAGGAGAAACGAAAAGCTATGATGTGGTCCATAGAAGCATGCGAAAAGGGAGTAGAGGAAAGAAAAAAAATGAAAGTCCTCTGCCTAACTATAACTGATCAAGTTGCTCAAGTACAAAGACAAGTACACAGCCGTCAAGAAAATGGCAAACAAAATTATAAGATTGTCAAAAAGGGAATTCCTCTAAGAAAGATTGCGAACCATTGTGAACAACTGTCAACAACCACAATGCGCAAATTCTTTGCAGACCTTAGAAAAGATAGGGTAGGATATAAAGCGAGAAATACACAAATGCGAGGAAAATATGGCATTCTGAATGCATGTGAAGAAAAGATATTGAGCATCTGGAAATAACATTTACGGGAACGAAGAAGAAATGGACCACACTGAGGACCTTGACCCAGAAGAGATTGAAAAACCTGATATACTGGATTCAAAAATAGCTATCGAAAGGTTTAAGACAAGAAAGGCCACAGGAATGGACAACCTACCATCATAACTGTTTGAAGATGGAGGAGATGAATTGAAAGCCAAGCTACTACAACTAATCCAGAAAATATTGGAAGAGGGAAAGGATACCTAAGGCTTGGAATATGGGCCTTATATGTTCTATCCTAAAGAAAGGCTCCATGTATGAGTGTAGTAATTTCAGAGGCATAGCAATTATTCTGGTTGCCTACAAAATAATGACCAATATCCTACTAAACCAGATATATCTGTATTACGAAAATATAGTAGGCGACCACCAAGCTGGATTCAGAAAAGGAAGGACCACACTAGACCAGATCTTCATCCTAAACCAAGTACTCGAAAAATTATAGGAAGTATCTCAAATCGTCCATGCCCTATTTGTCGATTTCAAATCAGCACATGATTCTGTGGACAGGAGCTGTCTTTGAAAAATCATGATTGAACTGTGAGTTACCCGTAAGTTGGTGAGATTGACAAAGACTTGTACAAATGACCCTAAATTTAGAGTCCTAATACAAAGAAAAGTATCTAAACCCTTCAAAGTTCGAACGGGCTTATGGCAAGGAGATGGACTATCACCGATGTTGTTTAACTTAGCCCTTGAGAAGGTGAAAAGAACATCACTGGAAAATGGAGGGGTCCACGTCGGAATGAATCATAAAATTCTTGGATACACTGATGATATAGCTGTCTTTGGAAGTAATCAAGAGGACATTGAGAAACTCGCTAAGACTCCGATAAGGGAGACAGAACAGATTGGCCAACAAGTAAATGAAGACAAGAAAATATATGATAAGTCAAAAATTCCACCCCAATAACAGGATAGGCATAGATGGAAAATCATTCCCAAGAGTAGAAAAATTCAAATAGCTTGGCTCCACAATAACCTCAATGAATGACCATCAGTAAGAAATAGACCACCGTATAACTAGCGCTAACAGAGCATTCTTCTACCTTTCAAAGGTATTGAAATTCTGAAAAATCTGAAGAAATCTCAAATTAAGGGTGTACAATCTATTTTTTTCACAGCCTACAATTTAAATATTCCATTCAATCCCCGTCCCACTAGATCTCGTACCTCCGACCTCTATCCACCTCCTCACAAATTCGTAATAATTCCTTCTGGAATACCATCCCTCCCGATATCCAATATGTACAATCAGTTTCCTCATTTAAATCTCTCCTTTTTAAGCACCTACTCCTTTCCCAACCTTATTGATTATGAAATGTAGATAAGAGAACTTTTTTAAAATCCCTCCAGAAACAATTTTCTTTACTTATGTTATTTTATTTTCCCACGTTTGTATTATACATATCGGTATGTTTTTAGTGTTGTTTTATTCCTTTTCCAATATTTTAATCTTAATGAGAATTTTAAATGTAGGCATTTATTCTGCATCTATAATTTCTCCTAAAGGGACAACAGTCCCAGGATAATAAGAAAAATATATTTTCATTTCATTTCATTACAATGCTATGATAAAGCCATGTCTGATATATGGATTTAAAACCTGAACACTAACCAGCTTCCTAGAAAAAAGTATTGAAAAATTTGAGAGAAAAATCCTCCGCACTATAATTGGAGCGATCTGGGATCAGAGTACTAATACATGGAGAAGAAAGACAAATTCACTGCATATAGAAACTGGTCAATCAATATCCCATGATATGAAGGCATGGAGGTTAAGATGGTCAAAGCATGTAGCTCAAAGCAATCCATCTGGAAGCCTCTACGTAACAATGAATGCCTCAATAGAAGGCAAAAGACCACACGGAAGGCCAAAAAACAGATGGATAGATAGAATTAACAAAGATGTAATAGAGCTGCGTGCAGATAACTGGAAAGAAATAGCTGAAGACAGGCAAAGATGGAGCAGGCTTGTTAAGGTGGCAAAAGATCTACAAGGTCTGTAATGCCAACGGAAAAAAAAAAAAAATTATGATTTAAACATTTGATTCTAATAACATATGAAATAAGCATTGAGTGTTCAATCATTGAAAAAAAATTGATTTAAGGCTGCTACACACAGAATGCAATATGTCTCGGTGATACGATATTCCTGTCAGCGGCGATAGGGCAATATAGTTTTGTTACATTATATTCCATGATCAAAGTCACACCGAGTGCGATAATCCACAGCAATACTGACAAAGTGATATCGTATCGTATCGGAACATTTATTGAAATACAATTGTAACTCATATTTTATTTATTTTTGTGTCCTTATTTAAATAGGTGTTTTGTTAAATTTAATTAATATATTACAGGATCAAACCTGAAAACCCACAATATTTAGTTGCCTTTAATCTAGAGGAATCAGAAAGAAATGTTAATCTTCTTGAAGTATTGAATGAAAATTCAACTAAAGTAGATTTAGTTACTTCTTCATCCAATTTTGATAAGAAAACATTTTTGGATTCAAAGTAAGTTTCTTTATCTTCACTAATGCTTCTAATTTTCTTAGATGTAGTTGTGTAATTTATACTTTTTAAATTTATTTTTTTATCGTAAATTTACATTTATTTGTTATTTCATAATGTTATTGTATAATAGCCTGTTAAGAAATATTGTAATTTTTATGTGAATCAGAGTCAAGTAAAAACTGTTCATGTTAAGGGTAATCACACTGTTCTTAAATCAACTATTCTCGGTTCAGATGAAATCCAATCAAGGGATGTAATTACTTCTTATGGCCTTAAGATTTTATACAAAATCCTATTTTACCTATTTAATTTATCTTTTTTCAATTATTAAAGCCATAATTTAGTTTTTCTTATGAATTTTTTTAATTGATTGTGTACTTCTCAATTTTCACTCTTTTATTATTGAGTGCTTCAATATATTTCCTCCTCTCATTGCTAAACCACTTACAGTAATAAAATTTCCTGCAAAACCGGTTTTGAGGGTATGAAATTCACCATATTAAAGATATGAATGTTATATACACTTTCAGGAATTAAAATAGACTGATAGCCCGAGTACAGAGGATTAGCTCTTGGATAATGTTTGTTGCAATGTTGCCAGATCCACATAAGTGAACAAAAATTCTCTAGATAATAAACAGTGAAAACTTTTCACCCAATATAATAAATTTAAATTACTTTATTTCCTTTTTTTTTAGGGATATCAAAAGTATAAAATTACCTGGATTCTCATTCATAATTTTGCAGTTTGTATAAGAGACTTAATGAGCTGAAAGAGGAAAATAAAAGCTTTTTATCTAGAAGATGAAAATAAAAGCTTTTTATTCAAGTTTTTTTAGCAAATACATGTGACTTTATTTATATATATTTTTTCTATTCATTTATTTTCTTATTATTTTTGTTGATTTCTATTATTGAATAAAATTGATCTGAAGTATTTTTTATCATTTTATTCCCATTGTTTGTTTATTTTTTAATATTCTTTTAATTGATATTTAAAATAAGATACAAATATTACCACTACAACTAAAGAATGATAAGCTTCGGGCTTGTTGAGGAAATTTTGTTTCTTGATCAACTGGTACGTATAATATTTGTAAGTGATTTGATTTTTCTAGAACACTAAGATTAACATGTGCATTGTTCTCCAGTGATATACTTATTTGAATTTTTTTTTTTTAATGTTGAATATCTGAGTATTTTTGAAATCACGAGTTATTTTAATTTATTGAATTATGTGCAGTAGGAGATGAAGTGAAAAGATGTTACATTCTCTGTTGTGGTATATGAATATCATTTGGATTTTTATCTACACCGTTATCATCGAATGTTTTAACGGATTCCTCACTGTGTTACTATGTTTCATCCCTTCACCATTTAAAACTATGTTGGTGGTATTGGTAGGTTTTAGTTATTGATTTGTCAATTTCAAAATGGTGAGGAGGAAGCATGCCAACTGATTTCCTTTCTCTTGGTTAAGACCAAAGCCTACATGTGCTATCTGCAGTTTGTCTTAATAGCATCATAACTTAAAAGAGCATTGAAAATAAAATCTTATGTTAATTATTGAATTTATCTACTGTAAATATACATACACCCACATATATATATATATATATATATATATATATATATATATATATATATATATATATAGAGAGAGAGAGAGAGAGAGAGAGAGAGAGAGAGAGAGAGATTTGTTTAAAGATTATTTAAAAACAAAAATAAAAACTAGGCAATATACATGTATACATTAAAATTTATATTAACTTATAATTTTTTATTCCAATCTTAACAATTTTTTTAATGGCTATGTCTTAAAAATAAACATATATAAAAATGTATGAAAGCATTTTTGTATATAAAAATTTTGTTTTAAAACAAAAGAAATATAATATGTATTGATATACTAATAAAAAGTCTTAATATTCTGGGTCTAGATCTATAAGTGAAATCACAAAAAAAATTTACAAAGAAATTTTTGTATGATTTGGTTGTAGACTATAATATAGATTTATTTACAACTCCTTTCCAATGCATCATTAAACAAGGTAACTTTATAGTTAAACTGCTACACTACACTAAACCGTTGGGTCAGGTATATTGTAGTTTTAAATAAATAACTTTCCCTGACTTTCATTTATTATTTTATAATCGATTTGACGGTATGGGGCCTATCAATGGTGTATTGCAAAAAGTCTATGTACCAATACCTAAATCCCTATTTTTCAACTTTGCACCATGAATCTCGTAAACCTGTCCCCACCTGGAGACCCGAACGAGGGACTAGTTTATCTCTGGATAATGGGTGTTTTATCTTAGGGAGGTCCATGACTATTTGTGGTGTATGGTTTACTAAAGATATGTGAGTAGGGCAGTCAATCCTATTAAAATTTCATAGGGCATTCAAACTCTCATTCTTGCTCAGCAAGTCCATCGGACTTGGCTGGGAGGAACTTCAGAGGAATCTCCACATCCTATAAGTATATTATGTATTTCAGTTTTTAATATATTGATATAGATATTATCCTTGATTGATTTTGCTTCATCTATAATGTTTTTAACTAAATTAATTCTTTGATTCGGGCAATGGTTACTGTACCAATTTAAAAATTTGTTACCTGTTGCGAATTTCTTCACCAAAAATTTCTTTCACCAGGATGTGGTGTATTGACCTATTTTATTTTTATATATCAAACACTCGGATCTAACAGGGAGAGTGATCCGACTAAAACCCTCCTCCCCCCCCCTAAAAATGGTAAAATTAACCATGACTTATGAAAAAAGTTATAAAATTAAATCTCTTATAAGTATTATTGTTCATGTAATTACATCTAATAGAACTTCAAGCATCACTTAAACACCATTTCATATTGGTAAGTAGTTTCTTTCTTTTTCTTTCTAAGTAATTAGCTTTATATATATATTTGTTAATGCTTTCGGGCTGAAGCTACTCAAAATTAAATCCTGGATCTGCTAGTGATTATAATTACTTGAAAATAAACAAAATAGCAAATTAGATTTTCTCTCACTTTTTTAGTAATTAATAGTTATAAAGTAATAAGTTATTATACGTTAAATTATTTATTTCATGTCGAAAGCTAATTAATTATCTCAAAATTTCCAGAAACAATGGCTGGAGTGGTCTAGTGTTTACATCAGAGCTGGATTCCTCCCCACCATTTTTCCTAGGTGTGGGCTATCCTGGTAATTTTATAGACTCCTAAGATTGGTAAATTTATTACCCTAAAGTTTCTGTCTAGGGGTTAACCTTATGGGTGGTTATGATTATGGTTTTCAATGTAAAGGAATTAAAAGTGCAATGTGTTCATATAAATTGACTTTTTATTTAACTTCTGCCATTATAACTATTAGAGATACTAAATTAATAAACCTTATTAATCAAGAAATTTTTTTTTAAATTGGGGTAACTGTAGTCAGGGGTGCCCAACGTCAATGCTGCAAGAACCTACCCACCCACTCCTCCCAAAATACTTTATTGCTAACTTTTTCTTAAAAACAGAGTAAGCTAAGGTAGATTTAGATCATAGATCATACACAATTACACTTGCAGCGGCCTGTTCCATGTTTCCCCTTTTACCTTATTCCGAAAATTTGTCGATCGAAAAACATCTTCGAAATTTGCCCCCTCAAAAATTCAAAACCTCATAAAAATATGGCCTCCTCAAAAATTTTGATGGACCACCTTGTGCCATGAAACCCCCTTCTGGACACCTCTGTCTGTTAGTATAGTTGGAGCGTGAAAAAACCAATCGTGAATATTCCTTGATTTTTTTATAGAACTTATTAGTTCCCCTCAAAAGTCCTCTTTGAATGGTTTTAACAATGAAAACTCGACTTTCCTTTGATATAAATTTTGTCTAGTTTACTGTTAAGTAATTAAATAAAGTATTTTTTTAATTAAAAAAAAAACGGTCTCATCATCAAATCTTGGGTAAGAAGCCTGGAGAGCCTCAAAACTTTCCTACCACGGGCCTCCAAAATTATACTTACTGTTTGCAGATTTTTAGCAGCTCCGTAGACAAATATTTGTTTTATTATTGTACAAACCAATTTATTTTATTATGATAAACTACATACTAAATAAATTTTAAATATCTATCTATTCAGCATTGCGACTCATTTGTTGATTCATAGCCTGCTCTATTGCAGCATTCCGAACTGTAAGTTAGAACTAGCCGAATCACTGTTTTATATATTCTTTCCTTCGACGCCTTTCATAAACAACCGCTCCTTAAATGTTTTTGGAGGGAGAAATAGGTTTGATTTGCTGTGAGGCATGTCTGTTCTCGTCTAGGGTTTTAGCCCTGGAGCCAGGACCAAAAAATGGACCTCATCGCAGGCGAAGGTTTGAATGTAAATTATGAAAGTGTATAACATTTTAATTAAAATGAGCTTTGTCTGCCATTCCAAAGCCGCTGCTTTCAAACATGGCGGCCATGCAAAGAGGTCCAAATTTGCCGAAAATGGACCCATCGCAGGCTAGATAAAACTTTCATAGATGAATCTTTTTACAATGAGGCGTCATTTTTGAGCAGTCTGCCGTTTCTGTGCCGCTGCTTTCCATTGGCAGACTTAATTTAAAAAATTGCAACTTTAGGGTAATAAATTTACCAATCTTAGGAGTCTTGAAATTATAACTACAATGAATGTGTGTGATAAAATGAAGAAAGAACTTTGTCTGCCTTCTTTAGGCCGCGGCAATCTACTGGCAGACTCTAATTAAAAAATTGCAATTTTTGATGAAAAAATTGACGAATATTAGGAGATTTGAAACTAAGCTATATGATACTTGTATATTAACAGTTGAATAAAAACGTAGTCTGCCTATGTTAGGCCGCGGCAATCTACTGGCAGACTCAAATTAAAAAATTGACTATAATTAGGAGATTTGAAACTTCACTATATGATACTCGTATATTAACAGTTGAATAAAAACGTAGTCTGCCTATGTTAGGCCGCGGCAATCTACTGGCAGACTATAATTAAAAAATTGCAATTTTTGATGAAAAAGTTATCTATAATTAGAACATTGAAACTTCACTATTTGATACGCATATATATGTAGTTAAATAAAAACTTACTCTTCTTATGTCAGACCGTGGCCATCTACTGGCAGACTATAATTCGAAAATTGCAATTTTAGGTGTAAACATTAACCAAAATTAGGAGGCTTGAAATTTGGCTATTTGATACTGATAAATTAGATATTAAATAAAAATGCAGTCTGCCATCAAAATACCGCTGTTTTGTAGTGACAGACTAAACTTGAAGTTAAATAACTTCTAGACGACGCACCTTTAGCCGCCCATTTAACTTGAGTACAGGATGTGAAAATAGTAGATAAAAGAATGAAATGTCTCATGAATACAGCCGAGCATTACTCAGGTTTGAAATAAAAATTATACAACAAATGGCACAACTACTAGCGAAAAGGAAGACGAAACAAAACCCTGTACACATTATTGGAACAATAGTGCATTTATTTATTGAGTTCATCACCATGATGAACGTTCTAAGAAAAGTTAGGTTTTAATATCTTTGGCTAAAACTCATAAGATTTAATAAATTATTAGTAAAGTAAATTATTAAAATCAGTTTGAACCCATTTATTAAGTTCTCAAAAGTTAGAATAATATAAGTCAACTAAATACAAAAATCTAGAAAAAGTATTGCGAAAATAATCAATTTGTTAAGAAAAATGGAAACATTAATGAAAATAAACACAACAGTTAAAGATTTTTTTTCTTTAAGTAAATTGTGAAGTTTCCACTTTTTTTTTTTTCAATTTATTGCCTACTTGACTATTTAAAGAAAATATAGTTGAAAATGGTTAATAAAAATATAGACTAGGGATATAAACAACTATTTACTTTTATGAAATTATTTACTTAAAAACGAGACCTAGGTAAACTT